AGTGTAATAGTGTGAGACAATGTGGTCGACATTTCTCAAAACGGTAAGCTGAACATGAAAGGTGCTTCAGACTAGGTCAAAGTGATTCGACGTTCTAAAACCATTCTTTGGAATGCAACCAAAAGTTCCCGAGTCTGGACGATACGGAAAGTTTGCACTATGCAAGCAAGGGTTTTGGAATCCTTGGAAATTCATAAGCATAAGCATTGCGGTTTCATTTTCATTTCTCATGGTGATCTTCTCTGAAACAAACTTCAAAAGGTATTTATAATAATTTATTATTGTTTGGAGAATATTATTTTGGGTTTTCTTCTTCCCCTTCAAAATAATGTCAGAAAAAGAGGAAGAAATCATTGGGTATTATTACGAATGGGGCAAAGGTCTCAGGTCCCGCCTAAGAGGGGGCCTGAGGTAAAGAAATGTTTGATAACCAACAGGCCATCATACAAATATGCACACATATCAAAGGCACGTATCCATATGAGCCAATGGGACGTAACGTAGCATCTTACATGATCGGCTCTTCACAAGATAACACGATTCGCTCTCGCTAGCAATTTGAGTTTTTACCGATCAATCATTCAAACCGAACGAGGTACGAAACAAGTCGCATGCAACTGGCAAAGATTAGCGGTACATATACAATATGGTGGAAATGAAAGGAATTATTTCATTATTTCGTAAGTCGGTGACCGGAGAGAAAATCCTGAGACCATTCGATTTCCAATTTCAGTTGTGCCTTCTATCAAATTTTCTTTACATTTCTTATATCATGTAGAAATGGAAACATGGTTGATGGGGTGTATCTTTCGAAAAGTAGTTTGATGCTCTATTCAGTTATATCAATACTTTTGAATAAATTACATTTACAAATAAAATTTGGTAAAGCTGTTACTGAATAAAATAAACTGTCAAATTCTTGCACATTTGTTTATTGATTGTTCATATGAAAAATCTAATTCTCACCAAATTGAACGTATTTGACTTGTCACATGTAATAGGCATTAGTTTGTTTACATTACAATCAAGTTGTGTTGTCATTATTATTCAGTTTTACTTTTTTCATGGAATTCAGTGAAACACAGAGAATTGAAATTCTCATAATGATTGGTTGTGGAAGAAAACAAGGACATAAATGGAGGTTAGTGCTTCATTGGAAGATGAATATCTCGACCGAGAACTAAGTTCTCAATGTTCCGTACGAAAATTTGATAAATGGAAACCACAAACAGAACACAAAGAATTTGATTTCTGCTAGAGTGTGAGAAGGATCTACACACCAGTTCACGGCGGCAAGTAGCATTCGAAAATAACATACAAAATTCATCAGTTCTTGCAACGCTAATTGGCATCCCTATAAAGTCGTTTCAATCCAGGAGATGACTCTGGTAGACAAATAAAATTTAAAAAAATAAACAGAGATCCAATGATTTGAAAAAAATTATCAGCTTAAAATTATAGAACATACTTTTTCAATGAAATTTCCACAGGTTCTCGATATTCTGAATTCTTCCTAAATTTCCTAATATCAGTTCCCAAACAGAAATAATTTATGGCTGTGATAAAATACAGTTTTGGATAGAAATTATCCAAATAGGGGCATTGGGTGAAGAAGGACCGTAGAGTGGCCACCTAGGACGCCAGATCTCACATCGCTTGATTTGTATGGAAATACTTGAAAATAGTACGTATCTATAAGTTCGTTGCTCGACTATCTTTGAGCATATATTTTGAATTTGGTTGTTATATGAAATCATATATTTGACACTACTAACTGATTTGTAACAATTTGTAGGCGATGGTCGAATGGAACCTGGAGTAACAAACGTTTCGTCTGCTACTGCGACAGACATCGTCAGACATTGCTGATTGGTTCTGACTGATCTATTGATAGGAGCTGAAATTGTTAGAATTCTCATAGTTCCTCAATAGCCTCTCTATGAAGTCGTTCGTGGCTACGGGTTGAATTAGACACGACAGCAGTTTCCTGATATTTCATCACTTGTTTTGTTTCTACTAGGTTCTGCAATTGTGGATTACGCCGGTTGCATGAAGCGGCAGCTAGGCTTGTGTTCTTATTTTCTGATGTTAATGCTGCGTTTGGTGATCCAGATGTAAACTGAGCCACAAGAACACGGAATCCTGTAAACACCGGCAGATGTCAGACACTTTTTTGTCCTTGGCCGATCTGATAGTGTTGTTATTTGATCAGTTGACTTGTAATTGATCCTAATGATGTGACGTTGTCTATGACTTTGTTTATTTGGAACTTGATCTAGATGAAAAAGTTTTTCTCCATGAAAATATAGTTCATAAACCCTGGTGAAGCTATCGACAATTTTTTCCATGTTTGTTTTTGTCCTGGATTTGAGTTTTTGTTGGCATACTGATCAGTATGAGTAGGTTTGCGATAAACTGTGTGACCTAGCTTTCCTTGATACACTGGATGTGGCATAGAAACTGTTCTAATGCTTGTTCCCGTGGCGAAAGTGTGATCAACATAGCGAAACCAAAAGGTAGGTTCCAGTTGAGCGACGCTGAGCACTTTGTTCTTGAAATTTGCAACAGCAGTGCTGAGTGAACTCTCCATAGCGACTTCATCTATTTGTTCATAGAAATATTAATTCCAGTGGAAATATATTGTAGTGAGAAGATGTCTCCTGTGAAACTATGTTTGATTCATGGTTAGTAAATCGAAGGTAACGAATCGATCGAAGATTAAAACTAATCTTCCTCTTTGAAGATGATCACTTGGTGATCGAAACACGTGTCGAAGTGTCAAAAATAACGATTTGGTGTTGGGGAAAAACTCNAAATAATCAATAGTATGCGTGGAAACACCTATGCAGTAACCGAGGCAAATACAGCAAGATCAACGGAATATCATTATACGAATTGTTCTTTTAATAACTGTGTGTTCAATAAATAATTTTGTTCGAATTGCAAAAAATTTTCTCACCGAATATCCCTCGAACATTGATAAATAACTCATAATTTTATCACAACTTCCTCAAGCACGTTATTTTAGGTAACATCCCTCCGCCTTCGGCGTCGGGATGTTACCAAATAACGTGCTTTCGAAAACTGTGATAAAATTATTTCGTTAGTTATCAATGTCCTTGGGATATTATAGCTGATAATAATATATAATAGTGAAAATCTAAAATAATCTGCTATTCATGCAACAGCATCGTTATTAATATCAGCCTAAAATGTTGGACATGTACATACTATATAAAAGTCAAAACCAAAAATTATCTGTTATTTATGTAACAGCATCGCTATTGATCTTCCTAAAATGTTACACATGTACAGGGTGATAAGTTATCATCCATATATTCTTTGAGAGAATAATAGGATTTATCCAGGGGCAACTCTTTGATTTGATAGTTATACTGTTTTAGAGCCAGATTTTCATTGTACTCGTACTCGTATTTAATTACCATGATCCTGGGACATGATTCAGATACAACTAATCTGTGTTTGCACAGGGAATTTATAGTATTATGATTCTTATTACCATTAAGAGTAGGAAAACTGGTTGTGTACAATGTTACATAATTTAATATCTCATAAATGTACATTCTTGTAACATTCAATATTCTGAGATTTTGAAAGATGGGTTTGCAAGTTGTCCTTCAAGTAACTCCTGCTATATACATTATGGTTCTTTTTTGAATTTTGAGTTTAAAAAAAAAATCTGTTTTTTCGTTAACCAGCTGTCGCACCCCTACGAACGACAACCCTCAGAAGTAGAAACTTGTGCGAGCTAAGGATTAACGAGGTCTTACCTTTTAACGTGTGATTCCCAACACGGAGTATTCTGGAACAATCAATAGATGCTCCCTAAACTATAATATCATTGGAAATGTTACAATGAAAGTATGCATGGTAATACATCAATAAGAGTGATCTATTTACATTCCAGCGTAGTTGTTGAATACAATAAGATATTGAGGATATCTTTTTACAAATCGTATCTATATGCTTGTTCCATTTGAGATTTTCTGTTATCTTAAAACTCAACAATTTCATCTCCTCTTATTGTTGAATTGATCCATTACTTAACGTTACTAGTAAACTGTGATCTGGAGTGGTTCTTGAATGATCAAAACGTAAAAGCACAGTTTTTCTTTCATTCAACAAGAGACCATTGTCTGAGAACCACTTTTGGGTTCATGTTATTTCATCAGATGGTTTATTAACTGTGGCTTTAATATTTCCCTGAGTTATCAATGAAGATGTGTCATCAGCATACATAACGAAATGATCACTATAAAAATAATTTACACATATTATATATAAAAGTGGACCTAATATAGATGTAGATAATGTACTGTAAACAAAAATATATTAGGAAGGTCCTAGGTAGCAGTCATCACACCACTATCCTCAGCAATCTACGGTATCGATCAGATGAAAAATAATGAAATTGTTGGTGCAGTATTCACATATTTACTCAGATTACGCTACGCCCAACAATTTTGTTATTTTTTTAACTGATCAATACCGTACATTGCTGAGGAGAGTGGTGTGATAACTGCTACTTAGGACCTTCCGAATTATTTTTTAGTTTTTTGTACATTATCTAGATCATTACTATCTTTTTTTTCAATGAAACCGTTTAACACATAATTTTTTTTAACTTATTTCATTTCCTAAGCCAGGACTAAGACAATGGAGCCTGATGGAAGTTTATAAAGTTCCTTATCGACTCAATGTGTAGAGTGGAGGTGTCTACAGACGGCGACTACTACATTGTAATTATACCCTCATAAGTTCTGAGAAATTATAATTATTTTTCTTCAGTCGAATTGATTATTTTTCTATTTTCTGATTACTTTCAATAATGATGTTCAAACGTATTTCAAATACTTTCATACAACGAAAGTCATAACTTCTAATATTGTAAATCACATTTAAATATAATTGATAACATATCTGTATCTAGTAATGTATAATAAATTACTTCCTTAACGTTCACCTGAATGCGTTATCAGGACTTATCAAAGATTATTTGGAGATCACAAATGCATGAATGAATCAGTTTTTGTAGTGAAATTTGTGATGAAACATATCTAAATGGTGAGTAGAAGCTACACGATATTCAACACGCCATAAATAATAATAATAAAATCGCTTACCTGAATCAATTTGTTCTTTCTGCATAAACAAGTCGATATCTGTATTCAGGAGGTTTTCCATTATATTGTGTTTCTTATACTAACTGTGGTACACGTTGTGAGAAAATTAATTACAAATGAAATAACCGAAGTTAATACGTTATCTAATCTATCTATAACGGTGATTTTCGTTCACGTCAGATATCTAAAGGATACTGTTTGTTTATTTTTTGTGAAGTTACTGTTATCTTCGACTTCAGAATGCCGTGTGCAGCTCTTGAAGTGTCGACATCTTTAGTGAACGAAAAAAATCGTTTTATGCAGTTGTCTCTAGTTTAATTAAAATCAGCAAATCAAATGTTGGAAACTGGTTTATAATTTTAGAAAAATTACCAACAACAGATAAAATTAAATGTTGAATGGAACGGTTTTTTTAGATATTGGAGTTTTCAATATATCTTCTTTCAAGCTCTATACNGCAGGATCATTTACGATTTACCACACGTTTGCCTTATCCTCTCCTTCAATTCGTTCGAAGTTCGTGATCTATTTCTATAAATACTTCCTTTCAAATATCCCCACAGAGAAAATCAGATGGAGTCAGGTCTGGTGATCGAGAGGGCCAACAAATAAAAGGGCTGTTCCTTCCAATCCATCTTGCTTGAAATTTCTCATCAAGATATTGCCGCACAGCAATCACATTGAGAACAGAGGAACCGTCTAGATGGAATATTACATTTCTGCCTTCTTCAATGCCTAGTTCTTCGATGAAATCCAAGAATTTCGTTGCCAAAAAAATATAAAATCTTCCACCGTTTAGTGTGTTTTCAAAAAACATTGGACCTATTATACGGTTTTTGAATATTTCTACTCAGACATTGATTTTTAAGAATATTGTCCTTGCCCAGTACCTGGAATTCTTAGTGGACACTGTACCTTTAATGGTAAATGTCGCCTCATCGGTAAAGAGAATATTGACAAGAAACTTATTATTATTCAAATATTCACCTTGGCAGAATGAACACCATTCCCACCTTCGTTCTTCATCGCCTCTTTCTAACGTGTACATGATTTTCGGTTTGAAGCAAATAATTTAAGTTTTTTCAAACATGTACGTTTTGTTGAACATACTCTAAAATTTATCCGTCTATCTCTATATTTCATGTTTGTCTTGGTATATCCTGGAGACGGTTGTATGGTGAATTGGTTCACGATCTGGATATCTTTTGTTGAATTCTTCCACGACTACCCTCGTTGATCGGACATCACCACCAAATAAACGAACAATCTCAATTCTTTCGACTAAGTACTTCTTACCTGGTTTGTTCATGAACTTTTTCCAGGGGGCTAGTGATAATCCTGTAACACCCACTTAGTACACTTAGTTATGAGGTATCAAAAGCGCAACATCCCGATAAATATCGCTTAAACCTCGGCAGGAAGTCTTAGACTGAATTCTGAAATGAGGCTCTGTTGGGCAGAAATCCACCCGTTAACACCAGCGGGGGCGCCTCCCATTGGCCTGTCGTGGGTTTATGAGGTGGCGTATCACCCTGTGGACATCGTGGAGCTCGACATTGAAGTCTCATCCTGCTGATCCTCCCCTTTCATTTACCAAACCTTTTCCTGCCCCCCCCCCCACCCACTTCCGTTTGTGGGAGAGATGTAAATATTGTATATGTACTCTGTACATTGGAACTTAGATTTACTATAAAGAAATAGGCAATAAAGAATTCAATTTTTGATTTGACTAAGACTAAGATTTACCATTTTGAAAATTCGCAAAACCGTTTTATAACTCTCTTCACCAAATACTCGTGGAAAGCGTTTAAGGATACCTAACTCTCAAAAAAAATCAAACGATATGGATAAAACATTTTTAACTTTTGAGTTTTCGTTGCACTATATACATCTATCTGTACCTGTTACAATGATAAAACTCCGTATTTGAATATTTCATGTGTTTCTCATTTCCATGGCTTCTTTGAAGTATACAGTTTGTTATACAGGGTCGTTCAAAAAATCATGAATTTGGGAATTTGTCATCATATAACTACCGCACTGTATGAGATATTGGGCTAAAACTGAGCCTAATGACCCTTCTTGAAATTTCGACCTATTGAGCAGGTCATAGCAGGCCTTGAAAATAAGAAAAATACATGCCTATCAACATCTTTGAATAGAGCCCGTTGAGTACTATAATTTGAATTTTTATTTTGCAAAATCGGTTCATGCGTTCCAAAATATCATGGTGTTGCGGTTTGAAATCGCACACACTGTAGAAACTGAAGGCGTGTATCCAATCCGATCCAGCTCCTTTGCTACTTTGATCAAAGATGATTTTTTTTATATTGTTGAGCTCAGCATATTCAAAAACAAGTTTACATTGAGTCCATCGTTTAACGAACCCAGCAAGTCAACTTGTTCAGCAATTTCTGTTTCTTGCTGTTGGGTGAAAACGGGCCTGTGGTCTAGCACCTAGTCTTGGGTTGCTCAGGTTTCCTTTCTCAGTGGCTTTCTCAAAGAAGTAAATGTACATTTTATTGTTTTGCGGCTTTTTTTTGGACAAATCTCCTTCAATCAAAGTTTTAGCAGCATCCTCTTCGGTCTAAGCCAGTGTTTCTCAAAGTGTGCGCCGCGGCGCCTTGGGGCGCCGTGGGCCACGGATGAGTCTCAAGGTACAACGTTTTACAACATAGATAACTGAGAGTAAAGGTATTACGTCGGTACCTTAATAAATTAATAAAAATCCTCTGATAATATGATAATATCGGTAATTGCAAAATGCAATCCGTTCAGACAGCCACCTACCTACTTTTATTAATTAAATATCTTGTATAGTCTTTACGTTCGGGGCGCCACGACAACCTTCAAAAAACATAAAGTAGTCGTGAATTCGAAAAGTTTGAGAAACACTGGTCTAAGCCTTTTCAGCGGTAGTCCTTTGACAAATTTTTTGGCATATCTATGAAAATAAATAAACTCACTAAAGGGTACTGGCGCTTAGGTGAGCGATATAACCCCGAACGATGTTTTCCTGCAGTTGAAAAAGCAAATGCGCCACTGGAATCAATGAAGTCGCCCCGAAGCGCCAATTAATTTTTATTGTTGTTTCCATTTTACTTTTATCGTTGTTTTAATAAAACTTCTTTACCAAAAAACATACCTCCACAATTGTTGAAAATTGCCTGCATTGTCACAAAATAGTTTTGTTGTCAAAAGAGTGAAATCAATAATTATATGAGCATCAGGGTTCTGCACTCACCAACAAAAACGCTTTACCAAAAATTAGGTAAGCTCAGCCGCAAACGAAGAAACGCACTTCACGGTCGCACCTGTTAAGGTGCGTATTCACCAAAAAAGCCAGCACGAGCGAGCATGAGCGAACATTCGTGTATGTTTGCTCGTGTTCGCTCATTATTGATTATTGATGCAGAATGCTCGTTCACCCTTGTTCGGTCGTGCTCGCTTTTTTGGTGAATACGCACCTTTAGAGGTAGAGGCCCCCTCCCCTCCCGCTTTACGAAACGTGGCGTTACAGTATAATCACAGTAAGTATGTATGTGAATAGTTGGGAGAGTGAGTGTATACCCACAGCACTTAGGCCACATGTGACCCATTGTACATCCTCCCGAGGAGTTGTCCTCCTAGGTCATCGTCCATCCTGTCGTTTCCAGGAAGGTGGACAGGTCACTAGGAGACATCTCCTTTATATTGGCAGGTGTAGGCCAAGACTCGCCGAACACACACTCTCTTTGGCAATCTTGAGATATCTCACTGCGGTCTCCGCGAAGGTTTTGGAAGGTGCAGCGACATAACTGTCGTTGGGCGGCTTCTTCAACCTTTCTGGGGTTCCCCTAGTGGAGATGTTTAAGTGAGGGCGCTTTCCTGCAAGGGCAGCCGGTTCCTTGCCTTTATTCAAGGCGGAGATCTTGGCGCCTGCCGCAGGAAGTGCCCTTGCTGTTGGAGGTGGAGTGGGGTACAGTCACCGCCATAGATTGAGGTGAGCACTTCTGTCCAGCCTCGAGATTGATTTTTGTTGTGTCTGTTTTGTTTGTTTCAAGGGGGAACCGAATATCATTCAGCTGTCGGCACGATTCCTTACACCTTAGCTTGGGTAGGCTGGTCCACGGTGGCATGTTTTGCAAAGGCTTTTGGGGAGTTTTAGTTTCCCTCACCCTACTTATTTTTGCCACTGACCAGGAGTTCGGCGATCCCATCCGTAAGGCTTCCCGAACAGGGCCCCCAATCCCCTGGCCGTTCCCCTATCCGCCGCCTAGGGATGCGCTCGATGCGTAGCCCAGCCCACGGGTTGAGCTACCACGGTATATATTACCATACCACAGTATAGCTAAAAACTACAATTCTAAATTTGAACATTAGACTTGTGATAGCGTATTGCTACCATCCATTTTGACAGAGTTACGGAGACGAGAGCCATTATCCAGTGAGTGTTACTTCCTTTCCCTATCCTGAATATTATCACAAATATCAAAAATAAAAAAACAAGTCATTTAACAGCGTCATAAGATATAATATTTTATTGTGAAGGCAGTCCATTCAAGAGACTCAAATAGTAATCAATCGTGTGCAAACATATAACGATTATTTCAGTAAAATCGATTTTAAATGAACTCCAATAAACGTGAAGTTCAAATGAGAAATCAGTACCCTTGATGATGCCAACCTGGTTGAGTAAATTGGCGAAACGTCAGATTTGCCTAATAATTTGGATAGTTTTTATCTATTTTTTTCTTCAATTTCTGACAATAAACAATAATTGTTTCAGGGAATAAAAAGAGGAGACATCGAAATGGGGAGGCTGCAACCACTATTGGGTCCACAAAATCCAACATCTGAAAGTCTCATACATACTGAAGCCGAGCAACTCTTGAATGCTGTGATAAATAACGAAATCGAAAAAATTGCGGCCATACTCAAAAACGCATCATCCGAAACCCTAAGAAGTTTGCTAAATGAAAAGTTCTGTTCTCATAATGAAAAATCCATCGTACTCATAGCATGTGATAAGGATGAAGTAACTAAAGAAACGGTTTCAGCTCTATATTCCTACTTTGCATGTATACTCAGTTCAGATGACTGTATAGACGATAAGAGATTCGGTTGGGAGCCTATTCACTATGTGGCCAAAAACGCAGATCCAGAAAAACTGGAGGTTTTATTGAAGTATGTGAGCATCAACTCTCATACTTATTTCTCAGAAAACGCGTTGCATGTATTACTTCAATACGGGAAATCTTCAGCTACGTTGAAAGTCAACTTGTTCAACGGCACATACTCAAAATCTTGTACAATAATTTCTGAAGAAAAGGAAAATATCGTAAAATGTTCTAAGTTGCTCATAGAGAAAGGAATTGACATTAACCACGCCAACTTTTGGGGCGAAACCCCAATTTGCTTAGCACTAAAATACAGGTACCTGAATGTTACCCAAGACTTACTGAAAAATACGAATATAGACTTGGATAATTATTATATTTCCGGGCGAACTATTAGAGAATACTTGAGACAAAATAATTTTTCCATCAGCTCACTGCCATCATCTTCATTCAATGCCATCGAAGACACTACCACTGTTCTCTTCAACTTTTTAAAATCTGGTGATGAAGAGGGTTTTATAAGATATGCTAATGAAGTGAAAACGTATTGTGGTGACTTATCTTCATGTAACCTGTCGCAATCTGGAACTATGCTGGAGCTATGTCTAAGAAAAGGGTTCCTAGAGTGTATACAAAACGGATGTTATGATGTGGAATACAAGGAACTTGATATAAGGAAAAGTCCAATGTTGAAAACATTCTGCAAAAAAGGAATGAGCAGGTAAATTTGTAGTTCACAAATTAATATTACAGAGATATATTTTTGACAATCACGGAAAAAACTGAGTCAACATAGAAAGTTTATTTTAGATGGTTATATGATCTGTATCTGTATCTGTAGAGTAAGGAGGGTGAATGTAGATCCACAGCACTTAGGCCACATGTGATCCATTGTACATCCTACCAAGGAGTTGTCCTCCTAGGTCATCGTCCATCCTGTCCTTTCCAGGAAGGTGTGAATAAGTCACTAGGAGACATCTCCTTTATATTGGCAGGTGTAGGCCAAGACTTGCCACACACACACACACACAACCTTGAGGTGTCTCACGATGGCCTCCGCGAAGGTTTTGAAAGGTGCAGTGGCAGCTGGTTCCTTGCCTTTATTCAAGGCGGAGCTCTTGGCGCCCGCCGCAAAAAGTGCCCTTGCTGTTGGAGGTGGGGGAGGGGAGAAGGAGGGTGCACTCATAGTTGCTGCCACTCCTGCCTCCTTCGCTCTCTTTCTCCTTCTGGCCTCGGCACCTCATTCCGAGCGGTAGATTGGGGTGGACATTTCTGTTCATCCCAGCCACCGCCTTAGATTGAGGTGAGTACTTCTGTCCAACCTCGGGATTGGTTTTTGTTGTTTCTGTTTTTGTGTTCGTTTCATTCATGTGTGTTCCCACGGGTAGCAAGGCTGATTACAATGAGGTTTCGCCCAGTTCCCCAAGGGGATGGTTCGAAACCGCATATCACCCTGCGACCATTCAGCTGTCGAAACGATTCCTTACACCTTAGCTTGGGTAAGCTGGTCCACGATGGCATGTTTTCCAAAGGCTTCTGGGGAGTTTCAGTTTCCCTCACCCTACTTATTTCTGCCACTGACCAGGAGTCCGGCGATCCCGTCCGTAAGGCCACATATTGGCTTCCCGGGCAGGGCCTCCAGTCCCCCGGTCGTTCACCTATTCGTCACCTGGGGACGCGCCCGATAGGTAGCCCAACTCACGGGTGGTTATATGATTTTTGAAATACTGTTTCAAAAAACTGATAAGTTAAGCATTTCATGGGAGTTTTCGAGCCAAAATTAGTTAGCCAATGATTACATAGGTTCAAAGTTCAAAAAGTATTGCCTGAGTTATACACATACACAAACATTATCATGAAGTTGGGATAATAATAAAAATAAAACAGCAATGAAGAACTCTCTCTACTGCAAGCATCAGCACAAACTCCGACAGATTTTGTCATTGGAACTGCCAGGGAAGAACAAAGTTTCTGCTACGAATATGCTAGCCGTTCCAGTCTGACTACTCGTTTGGAGTAGTGAAGTGGACTCGGGAGAAATTGTATCAACTCGACATGTAGACCCGAAAAATAATGCTCTCCATAGGAGTTTGCATTACAAATTATCCGTTCCACGTTTGTACTTCCTCCAACAGGAAAGCCGGGGACTTTTGAGTTTGTCTACATGACAGAACAGTATTAGAGCCTGTGAAATCATCAGGATTTTGGATCGGTTTGGTTTTCGACACTGTATAAGGTGATTATTGGAACAGAGTTGGAACACGTTTAGCAAAATAACCACATACAACTTAACAAAGCACCTGACCTACACTTTCCGCAGGTCGACTGGGCTGAAGTCGGCTTTGAGGGTTTCATCATGGCCTGGCAGGATAGTGTCTTCAACACGTTAGTCTACCGCAGTCGCATGATGGGTATATAGACGTGCCTGACACAAGGTCCAGTGTCTGCCGCAAGGTGCCTTTGTCCCTAATGCACTTGGTGTCGTGTCTAGCATATCCGTTGTGGGGAATGAGAAGTGTGCTTTACGAGTGTAGGTATCTACTATTGAACAAGCTGATATCTACATTCAACCGAATCAACAAGAAACTAACCTACGCTAAGTTGAATATTTCAAATAAAATCTTGCAATCGACAAAGACTTAGTATGTAACTCATTACATTTGGGTCTTAGTTTGACAGAACCAATGCCAATGTCAGACAACGATTTCGGAAGTAGTTCATCCACTATTCTTATATTAAGCTTGTCGCGCACTTTTCCGGCGCAGCACAGCACGGCCCGTCAAAATACGGATAGGATTGGAACAATGAAAATGAATGGACAACCGCCCACTAGCCCGGCACGGCACAGCCAAGAGCGTTTGCCGCCGGAAAGGATTCCAGCTCTCCGATCCTGATCGGCAAATAATGGAACGTGCTGTGACGGACTGGCCAAGTGAGCGCGTCGCCGGCCAACGCTTGCCAGCATTAACTTGTCCAAAAGTGCCTGGAAAGTTTCTGTCTTTTTGTTTTGCTATTCCATCAGTTGACAGCACAGTGTCAGAAGGTACCTATGAAAATGGACGCGGAAAAATTTAGTTACTTGTTAAGGCAGGCGTTAGAATATCCAGAAGTTCTGAAAATTTTCCTGGAGTCATTCGGAAATACAGGAAAAATTTCTCCTCGTCTTCAGATCGTTGAAAAGATGAAGAAACTCTCCCAGATTTACCCTCTTTTGATTAATGGGATGGACCCACAACATTCTTTTTTGTGACTATTTTCTTCTACATTCGATAATGCGGCCACTATAATGACGACTTCTTTGTCAGAACTGCTAGTGATAGGCATGTTTCTGTCATCGTTCGATGTCAAGTGAAATTCTCTTGAAATGGAAAAAACAGCACCTTCAGTATGCTGGTTGTAGCTGGACAAGTGGGCGATGCTACTACATGCTACATGCTACTACCCTTCGCCATCCGGCGACGGGCAGCGCCGTGCCGGACAAGTGATCGACAAGCTTTATACTTAGGGTTCTTATCTCGACGATCGGTTCATATTATGATTTCTACAGCTCCAGTTGTTTACATGCCCATGACTAACGTTTCATTTAATTTACAGAATCCCCTTCCTAATATTCCTGTATTTCAGACATCAATATTAAAAAACTATATATAAATTAGCATACTTACTACTAGTTAAACGAACTTTGATAATTTCAGGTGTATTGACTACCTGTTGGAAAACGGAGCAGATCCAATGGTAGCCTCAAAGAAATTCCCAGAACCACCTCTAGTATATGCAGCTCGAAGAGGATATTATCCATACGTCGCTGCAGTAATCTGCCATAAAAATAGTAGAATTGAAACTGATCAAGTATTATCTGTTCTGAAACTCCTTGAGAAGAAACGCGCGTGCGATGTAATGGTTAACACAGTGAATGGATCATTCTATAGGAAGTGTTCTCTATACTTATTATTGAACAAACTGATCTCTACATTTGATCGAATAAAAGAAAACTTAACAGAAGGTAAAATGGAAATTTTAAGGAAAACCGTGCATCAATTGGATTTAGAATCGGATAACAAAAGCATCGATACTGAATTGGTTTGTCAATTATTACACTTGGGTGTTGGCTTAACAGAAACTATATGTAAGTCAAATTCTGCTGGAGCTGAAATCAAAGGCACTGGGATAAATCAAGTAGTTGTTAGTTCACAGTACGAGAAAAAAGAAAACATGCTTGTAGATTTACTCGACATCAATAATTTGAGAGAACATTTAGACGACTGTATTGAAAACAACTGGTTACACTACAACAGCATTATCCAGGATTCCCACAATGAATATAATGAAACAAAAACCATTAGTTTCTTAGCAAACGATAAAATCAAGAAACAACTTCTAGTTCACCCCCTCTTCATTTACTTCATCAGCAAAAAATGGCAAAGAGTTGCATGGGTTTTTTACCTCGATTTGTTCTTTTATTCCATCTTCCTGTTGAGTATCTGTGCATATATGATTTGTTTGCACACGCAACTTACTAATGTATTTTTGAATGTCTTTTTTCCATTATCTTTGATGATCCATATCATTAAAGAAACCTGTCAACTCATATTTCTTTATCACTGGAAATATTTCAAAGACTCGTCGAATCTTCTGGAAGTGACTGTAATATTAAGCTGCACCGTGAGTTACATTTATCCCAATATCTACAGTATGACTGTAGCTATACTTTTTGCGACTTCGATCTTGTTCATTATGCTTGGACAGTTACCTATTTTTGCTAAATATACAATCATATTCGGGTCAGCGAAATATTTCATCGAATATACTGGATTTTACTTCATTCAGTTTTTATCCTTCTCCATTTGTTTTTATATTATATTTCCATTCAATGTGAACCCAAGTGAATCTAGTACACAAAAAAATATAACTGATGTCGAGGAAGTTGTTGGAGACCTTTTCAAAAGCTTATTTTACACTCTGATTCATTTCACAGGGGATTTTGGTGACAGAGTTCTGGAGCCAACGGAATATCCCGTTTTTGGTAGAGTATTCATGACAATATTCATTTTTTGCATGACCATCATTCTGAATAATTTGTTAGTTGGACTAATCGTAACAGATATGGATGACATACAAAATAGCGGACGACTGTACAAACAAGTGAAAATAGCAAACTTTATAAAAACAACTGACATTTTCGTTAAACGTATACATGAATGGAAATGGATGGATTGTATAAAACGTATCATAAGACGCGTAAGTCTTTTCAAAAAAAATCAAACCAAAAACTTGCCTCTCAAAGATTCTGAAATTTATGAAATATTCGACGAGGAAACTAAAGAATATTTGAAAAACCTGAAAAGCAAAAAACAACGAATTTTCGACAGAAATGTATTGAAGGATTGTCACGATCTTATAATGAAAAATGATTATAATTCTTCCAAACAAAAAAAATAAATAAAACGTGTCGGAAACTTTCGATCTTCGTTGATGAATAGGGTGACTGCATGAACTGTGGGGAGAGGAACTTTTTTATGCACAACATTTTGAACACAATAACAAATGAATACTGTACAGAGTGTATACTGTTGAAACTTAAAAATCTATCTCAACAGATGAATGTTATTTGACACGTAGGATTTATGCTATAATTTTATTTTTATTTTTGCAGCATTATTTTACTTTCGATATCTTTTAATTTTATTGTAAATACAAGAGCCGTTTTAGGATTACCTTCTATGTACAATAAAACTTCAATTATATATAGTCGCTGTTTTTTGTTTACATATAGTTGATTATTTCCTTTGTACAATGTGCATTTAATACAACTACCTGTATCTGTATAGAGTAGGAGGGTGAGTGTAGACCCACAGCACTTTTGACAGCACATGTGACCCATTGTACATCCTCCCAAGGAGTTGACCTCCTAGGTCATCGTCCATCCTGTCCTTTCCAGGAAGGTGGACAGGTCACTAGGAGACATCACCTTTATATTGGCAGGTGTAGGCCAAGACTCACCGAACACACACTCCCTTTGGCAACTTTGTGGTGTCTCACGGTGGCCTCCGCGAAGGTTTTGTTGCTATTGTTGCGCGGCTTCTTCAACCTTCTTGGGGTTCTCTCCGTGGAGGTGCACAAGTGAGGGGCAGGGGCAGCCGGTGCAGGGTGCACTTATAGTTGCTGTCACTCCTGCCTCTTCGCTCTCTTTCTCCTTTTGGCCTCGGCGCCGCAAATGCGCTTACGCCTTGGCCTTTGTATTACATCACGAGGTGATCTGCTGTGTCCAGCCTCATTCCAAGCGGTAGATTGGGGTGGACATTTCTTTTCATCCCCAGCCACCGCCTTAGATTGAGGTAAGCACTTCTGTCCAGCCTCGGGATTGGTTTTTGTTTTCGTTATTTTTGTTTTTGTTTCATTCATGTGTGTTTCCACGAGTAGCAAGGAAAGAGTTGGTCACCTCTGGCAGAGCCCCGCATTATCACAGGTAGGCTCTTTACAATGAGGTTTCGCCCAGTTCCCCAAGGGGATCGTTCGTGACTGCATATCACCCTGCGGCCATTCAGCTGTCGGCACGATTCCTTACACCTCAGCTTGGGTAGGCTGGTCCACGCAGGCATTTTTTGTAAAGGCTTCTGGGGAGTTTTAGTTCCCCTTACCCTACTTATTTCTGCCACATAGGCTTCTCCCGGACAGAGCCTCCAGTCCCCTGTCCGACACCTGGAGCCGCGCCCGATAGGTAGCCCAACCCACGGGACAACCACCTTTAAACATCATCACGTTATCATCAAAGAGTTATCATTCGATATTTCGTTTCGATCTCAATGCAGTAAAGAAAGAGACTCTCATTGATCAGTATACTTGGACTTTCCAAACGGTATGTTTTGTGGATTGTTGTTTTTACGGTTTATTGACCGTTGTTCGTGCGAATAAGTGTTTCTGAACACCGGCATGAATGGTTGGCATTTTCAGGAGTAAGACATTGTTTTTTCTCTTCTTGAGATTATATTTATAACCCTTCGGTAAGCCTGTCACAATGCCGAAAAGTGAGAACAGAAATACACTCCAAAATAAGCATAATAAAATCAATATAAAACACTACAGTACGGAATGATATGACTCTCAAGGAAAGAACAAATATAGATACTTCATTTTCAGGTAGGTAACCATAATATCATCAAATCGTTTTTGTACACAAACCTGCTATGTTACCGTATAACAATGGACAATAACCAGATCACGTTTTGTCATGTTATTGTTTAATAAATATAGTTTATATACAAAACTCAAAAACACGCTCTTGAAGAACATCGAACTAAAGCGTGTTTTTCAGTATTTTTAAAATATATTTATTTTATCTGAACTTTGGGATCAATCACTCGTATATTGTTTAGGTTACGTGCAGCGCCATCTACACAGGATGCACACATAAACAACCTCCTCATTCCCCTTACCTATATCCACAGATGACAGTTTATAGAACTTGAATAAATAGGGAGGTTTATTCTATATGTTTTCTTCTTCTAAAATCTGACCCAGTGTCATAAAATAGATGGGGTTTGAAATGGATTTTTTGTTAGCCAGAGCAATTTTAAGGGTAGCTAAAGACTAACGAGATCTAACTTTTGATTTGCGACTCCTGGCATGGATCACATGCCAGGCAGTGATTACCGACCATCCCAGAGTTGGGACCGAACCAAGTTTCACAATAAAGGTGTTTTCATGAATAGGACTCACTAGTCAACTGGCTAAAATCCGAAGAATATTGAGCAGTTTCCTGATGTGAAAATGGATGATATGAATATAATTTATTTCGTGAGTTATACATGACGTTTTCTTTTGAGGTATCGTACCAGATGTGAAATATATAAACTTAACAGAATTAAAATGTTGGCTTTTTTTTAAAAGTGCTGATGTCATTGGCTTCATATCAAACACTGTATGTATTATTGTTTTCTGGGCTTATAAAAGCTTAATTGACGTGAGCTCTCATGATTCCCAGAAAGTCAAATAATATTGGACGGTTGACTGCACCAATCCAGAGTATAAGAGCTTCAGAACAGGTCTTGTGTCTCTTATATTTCGATTCGAATGACAAAGCAAATTCAATTTTGAAAAAGTTTTATTTAGGAGGAATTGTAAAGTGAGTTATTAATATACTGTTATACGTTTCTCCCCTTGGGTTGACCAATAATTGACTACACTGAATGATCAAACCCCATTTTGTTTTTCACTTTAAATAAAACAAACACTTCAACCTCTTACCAACAAACTAATCATGCTAAACTGTGAGCATATGTTCGAGACGAGTGTACCAACATAAAAAAGTTAAAGAACCTATAAAAGAATGTACTTAGCCCGCGAAATTTGAACAATCACCTTATTCTTTGAACAGTCCACGTAAATTGGATGTCCACAGGATATCAGGTGTTGTCTGGATATCTCTTTCTCTCTCTTTCTCTTTCTCTCTCTCTCTCTCTCTCTCATTCTGCAGAGTGACAGTTTTACTTTAATCTGTGACTAAAAAAAATCTATTGCTTGCTAAGATTTATTCAATTTCAATTGACATGATATTATCCATAACCATCAAGGATATTAACTAGAACAAATAAATAGCACACAAACACTCAGTTATATCTTATATTGTCAACTGTAACACTGATCTTAAAAATTCTTAATATTGAAAAATAAAATTCAACAAATTTTATAAACTTATATACCATATTAAATATTGAATTGCTGCAGGAATCCAAAAATGGAATGTATATAAAAATTAATAAGAAGAAAAACTTACACGGGAGATCCAAAGTACCCATCATATAAATGTTAAATTTTCAACTAGAAACATCTCAAGCAGTTATTATCAAAAAAAGAAAATACTATTCGGATTCCTGCTGCAGAATTATAGATACATATATGTATTCGTAAAATTATTAATACTAACAACAGCTAGGCAATAACACAGATTAAAACAGAAAAAGTCGTCGTCGATATTGGTTTTGAAAATTTTGGAAAAACAATTTTTGACAGATAGTCCTGACTAATTTTCCACGAAGCGCCAAAAAAGATATCTTCACCCCCTTACAAGTCAAAACCAAGGCTTCAGAAATACCCAACTCACTGTTTTAATATACAATTAACTATTCTAACATATATATATTACGATTTACAAGTCGATTTCAAATGCTTTAGAATACTCTAAAACAGTTCAGATGTAACTAATTCCTATCATACTATGTGCAATTTATTCAAGACTAGATTTTATGATAACTTTCTCAAATAATGGTTATTTAAAGCTATAGTTGAATATAAATTAGAGGGAAATAGTTGCTGGTTTTCCTTTCCTGAACACTAAGGAAGACTTGAAAAAACCAGCTGGATTGTTCTTGGAAACAATTAGTAATCATTATATAGCATAATTTTCATGGCTACAGGCCTAACAGATAGAATATTTGATAAACAACATTCAAGACAGCTACTTATTATTCTGAAGTTTTCCATGACAGGGATAAGGACCTGAATGGTTTTGGTGAGCTGATAACAGCATGACAACAAACTCAACTCAAAATGCTAAAATCCCAGACAGGTGGGAATATCCTGGGACGTGAAATGGATGTCCATGAGATATCTCTGGAACAGATATCCTTCGGTGGATATCATATGAACATCTGTGGGATATCCAAAACAAAACAAAAATTTAAATAGTTCGTGAGGAGAGCTGATTTGAATTTCGTTTGCTTCTTTCTCATCTGAAGTTTGATATTCTTTCCATTTTTACATATTTGAAACATATTGTAAAAATAAAGATGATCAGCGATAGTGATATTCAGATCATTTGCACTGAATACCTGTAGACAACCAAAACCATTTTATTGTTTTGACATTTGCCAACTTTTCTTCTCTGTTCTTACAGAGTTTTGTCTAGTGGTGGACATACTCAGATCATTTGTATAATTTACTTCAGTAACAGATTATTTCAATAATTGGATAACTTCAAAGGCAAAAAACCTCTTTCAAGAATGTTCCTGATGGATATCCTATGGATATCCTTGATCATAAATCGGGCATCCATCACATATAAGCAATATCCAGAATGGACCACCCAAGGATATCCATCGATGTCCTTACGCTGTTTGGGATTGATATCATTAAAAAATTAGAATCAATAATGTTACTTCAATCACATTCAAAGTAATTTTCAAGAAATTAGGTTAACAAACAAAATTTGTGATAAAAAATTTCTGTAAAATGTCAGATGTCAATCTAAAGCATATTACGAGACTAAACGCAGTGTTCTTGAAATAAATAACGAGTTACAGAATACTGGCAAGACAAAGTTCCTTTAGTGGAAAACTTTACTGAATTCGTTGATTTTCCATCTGATTGGCCTATAAGTAAAATTGAAAAGGTGCATTACATTAACTTTCATCTCTGTCTCGGGTTATACAAGCTTGCCGAAAAGCTGTGATGCAGAACTCAAAGATGTAAAATAACAAAAATTTATTCCGGTACATTGAATGTAACCTTTTTCGCTGAATTCTAGCCAGCAAGCGTAGCCAAATCACTGAGGAAACCTTCTGGAGTGAGTATGTGCGAAGAACCGATTATGACTTCCCAATTTTTCTGGGCGTTGGTAACTTCATAAGCGCAACGAATTTCTGAGAAACTGATTCCTCCCACTACGAAGACTAGAAGCCTCGGTACATTTTTGACGGCCTGCTGACCTCTGTCCTTATGCCATTGGCCATATCGAGCACTAAAAACAAAAAAAATATCATACAAACTGAATAGCTCAATTGATTCGAAAACCAGTATGATAATACAGTATTACATTAAGTTTTTCCAAAAGTTTTGCACGTTTTTATGAGTCTAATTTAAACTGTAATATCTCGGTAATTTGAATCAGTGTACTTTTGCTAACTTAACACATATCAATTAATACCATCAGCGTAAAAATTAGGTGCTCGGGATTCGATGACGTCGACGAAGGCCGTTTTTGCCTTGCCCTGATTAGAGAAGGTTCTACCTGTGAGAAAGTTATCGAAGTGCTTGAATAGAAGGTAGCTGGTCGTCGATTTCCTTACAATAGGACTCTGCTGCAATGGTTTGCCCGGATGTTGAAAGTTATAGTGAAATATACCAGCCGCTGACCATCATAGAATAACCACGATCTTTTTGTAGCGGGTTTCTTTGGTATACAATAGTATACAACAGTATACTATTGTTGCGCAACAGTATACTGAGTTTTAAAACTATCATTGGATTTGGCAATATTTTTTCCCTGCGAAGACACCATCTATGGTATTGACAGAAGATTCAATCTACGAATATGATACAAAGTCGGGTAAATTAGGAAAAAGTTGACAATTTCAGAGCTAACCTAAATTATGTTAAATGATGTGTAAAGGCTAACTTATACTGGCCGATTCTTTTTTTTTTTTTCGGTTTAAAAAATATCACAACACACTATTTTTTCCCAATGCATTCGCTACAAACATGTCTAGATTTGAACATCCCAACGACAAACGAATTAAAATACAACAGTGATCTATGAAAAAGTGTCAAGTTTGACCTATCATTTACCTTGATGGTGCAGCATGATATCCAGTGGACTGAGCTCTACCGACGAGATATGGAAAGTGTTTCTGATCCAATTTATCCTCAATGCAATCCTCCATCAGGTCTTTGATAACTGGTGTCCACCTCGACATTTGGTATGTTTGCTCTGTGATTCTTTCTTTTCTCGGTATGGTGTAACCTTTGTTTCTCTTGCCACCCTTGAGAAACAAAATACAATGAAAATAATGACAATAAAACAAGGGAATTCACTCACATCGTTGATGACATTGACGCCTAGATATTGCAAATTAGCAATTGTCTGCTTATCCTTAATTTGGGCGTGAGTGGCAAGCTTTGACAAGTTTTCTTCTGTTATACCATTTTTTGTCATTGCGTATAAGGCTATGATCCGCATTTTGTCATATTCATTGGTTATTTTAGGGTCTAACAGAATGGGAACGATGTTGCGCATGTGGTCTTTGATTTTTTCACCTTCTGCATCTGTACCCATTGCTAAATCCTGGAATTATTGATGGTTCAAAAGTATACAATATATGAGAGACCAATAAAAATGATAATGTTAGTTGGAAGTTTCAAAATAGAAACCAAAATACTGATAGTGATTTTTCAGTCCTAGTAATCTAATCTATTTATGAAAATTCATCTAATCTACTTAGGAAAATTCAGGAGTGACTTTGGTAATCCAATATTGATTATTGTTTAAGAACTGGTTTTGGGATAAGATCAATAGAGTCCTGAAAAAATATTTTTATTCATTGCCGAAGTTTCAAACTTTAAGTCCGGTCTCATCATGGCCATGCAAAGATAAATTTCTGAATTAATTTTAAAAAATATCTTGGAGAAATTAGAACTTTTGAAATTCGTAAAAATGAAAGTTGTGAAAAGGATTGTGTCAATACAAACAGACTTCAGAAACCTACCAATATAAATTCAGGAAACAACAAAACGTGAGCATACATTTTAAAAATTCTGCTATAAGAATTCCCGTCACTCACCTGTTCGACTTTGCAGAGTTTGTCGATGTAGCCTTGGTAAGCTTTCATGCAATCTTCGGCCAAGTGCAAATGAGTGGCGTACTTTGACAATTCTTTTTGGTACTGCGGCATTTTTTTTATCATTGTCGACAAATCCTTCATTGACTGTTTGTCGCTCTGTGTCATGCGTTTCGAGTCAGTGAATTTCTTTAAATTTTTCGTTACGCTTTGTGATACCACAGCAATGTGTTGGTGTCGAAGCTCAACCCATAGTTCATCGTTTTCGTCCAGGAGGACCTCTTTCAGGACTCCGGCTGATGCTTCATATCTATGAAAAGGTTTAGTAACAAGCGTTTCAAATATTTAATGAACTTTTAACTCAGTAAAACTTCCATTAATTGAAGAAACTATCAAGTGTTAAAAGATGTAAGAATATTAATATTCTGAAGGTGATACAATAGAAGAAAATGGATCATTACATGAAGAAAAGTTTCGTCCCTATTGATGCTCATAGTATATTCAAAATGGTTTGAAATATCTCATTCCTATTTCAGCAGATTTGAAGTAAGCTACGGAATTTTGGAAAGAATTTTCATTGCCACTTGCCATGTTTATTAAATAATTTTCAAATTTATTTTCCCATATCTGTGATAACGGCATCTCTGAGAGAAAAATATTACAAGAGAGGCCAAAACTTCTTTATGCCTAACAGAACCTATTATATTTATTTTTCAATATCACTAACTGAATGAAATACCTACAATACTTGATGATTTTCTTACTTGTACACATCATTTTCGATGGGCAACAGATCATATGCCATAGCTTGAAAGGTGAGTTCGTGTAACAAGGGGGAAACACAATCGAAGCCGCGATCCAAAATGATCAACTGAGATCTAGCTTTTTCGGGACCTTCTCCCATAGTGGGCTCATCTGCTTTATATGCGTCCAATTTCTGCTGAATCAACTGAGCAAGCTCAACGTTTCTTTCCCAATCACTAAAAAGGAGTTCCAGGTACAGTTTTTCAGAACGAATTTTACTGTGACAAATTTCAGACTGGCCTCAGTTTTTTATCTCAAACATGGTTTCAACTAACCTACGATATCTCACGTGGGGATACTCTCCGANTCAAAATGAAGCTTTTTTATTTATTGTACAGAATGTGACTTCTCTGAAAATACATTTGAATTTGAGATTTTTAACAATAAATCGTGCCTACTAACTTCATACACTATAAATAATCAATCTTCTGACTTTTATTATACTATTGCCAGTGATAAACTATTTAAAAAACTTAATATGAAACCCCACACAAGTCCACTGTTACTTTATCACATCTTGCAAAATTTTTGTAAAAAACAATTATAATATGTAATGTCAAAAACCTGAGAGCGCTGATAAATTTATTCAGTTGAACTAGAAATCATATACATTATTTTCATGAATTGACCTAGAATTTCAAATCACCTCTAGCATTGAATGTTCAAAAATAAGTACTGAAAAATTCTGAATAAGGTATGTAACATAATTTCTTCTTCTGTTCCTATAAGGGTGAATATTCATAAAAAAAATCCTTTAGTTCCTAAAACTAACATCTTGTGAAAGTGTTTGTTAATGATATGCTGTATCTTGAAGAAGGAAAGACAAAAATAGAAATCAGTTATTTGGACTAACTATTTACAAAGTACGTTCTTACAGTTGTAGATCAAAATAGTCTGTCATGAAGAATTGTAATTATAATACCTAAAAAATGGTTTCCATTCATTACTCAAATGACTACTGGGTTAATTTGGTTTATCAAATATTATATAGTGGAACTGTACAAAATGTTCTTGAAACCATTCACAGAAACTGAATTATCATCTACATTGAAAAATAGACCTTCAGGTGCAGATGATAATCCTGTGTACAAACGAAAAGCGTTCTTCCAAACCAGAGGCTCAGGGATGAATATTTCTGGCTTGTGACCTGCAGTCATGGAAGGCATCTCCCTGAAAGACACACGTTTGTGTTGCTTATCTATCTGACAAAAGTAGTCACTAATTGGGTCTTCACTAGATTGAGGAAATGAGCCATGGCCTCTCAACCTTGGAGTACATTATTCATAATGAAATTCAGGCCCCAGTAGCAGAGCAAACAGTTTGTGACGGCCACATCACGGACCAGATCAAGTTTTCAGTGTTTGGCAGAGTTCTGCTCTTACAGGTAGATCTGAAAATTCACTCACCAAATGAAGTAATTAACTTTATTAAGAAGCTGGATTTCTTTGATCAATGGGTAATTATACTAAACTTTGTTGATTTCAAAGTCCCCATAAGATATGAAACAAACCAACTGAGCATCTATTAAGTTGAAATCATTATCACTGGCTACATGTGAGAATCTTTGGGAAAGCTAAAAATTGTAAATTTAATGGGCAAACAAAATGGTTAAGGCTTTCGTGGCCGAGGTTTTCAGTATGAATATTCTTCGGGTTTGAACGCCGTGGATTTTTGGAATTTCTTCCTGATGTTTCGCTGAAGCGGGTGGCTAGTTTCTTCAGAGGTTTATACAACTTCAGTTAATATCTCCGATGACTGGATATTACGGCTAGGTAACACATATTTATGTGACTCCTCGGGTAGTTTGGTGTGCTAATACCTATACCTGGCTTAGGTAAATTTCGTACAGCACATTTCTGTTGATTCAGGTAGTCTGGTGTGATAATACATGTATCTAGATCACGTAAATTGTCAATAACATTTGATAACCTTTTTAAACCTGCCGTCATGCTGTTTGATAATTTTGAACTCCATAGGATGGAATTCCATATTCGATTCAGGTTCACAGCTTCGTCTTTTCTTTTGAAATTATCCATATGTTTGTGAATTTCTATTGCCTCCCGTACCAGTCGGCCATGGTATCCCTGGTCAGGGCAATGATTACCACATTTTCAAACAGAATCCTGTGGTTTCCTTTACTGAGTGTGTGTTCTGCCACAGCCTAGTCTGCAGTTTATCTCATGCTCCTTCAACCTTGTTTCCAACCATGGACAATAAATAAGCAACTTCTGTGCCGGACATTGTCAAAGGTCTTGGAAATGTCAGGGTATTATGATATAAATTCGACTAGAGCATAATGCGGTTCATATTTTTTATTCTTCATGACACACCAATAATGCAAGCGAAAGATATGGAAAAGCAAGCAAAATGCACACTATCAACAATAATCAAAAAATTAATCCGACTAGCAGTCTACAAACACCACACACCTGGGACTCATACGGCAGAAAGGCAATGTTGATCTCCTTCAGAGTTTTGATTTTTTTGGCCGCACACGATTTGCACAGCTCATTAAAAAGTTCCTCAGGGCAAACTGTCGAAAACAGAATTTCAGATGATTTGGTTAGTTACATGTAGATCAAAAAACAAGGGAGTCGAAAAAATTTATTTTTAAATTGATGTTTATGAACGTTTTGAACTCTCCGATATTTTAGCAATTGGAATTGTTGTGTTTTGATCTTTTGTTGATTATTAAGATTAATTCACCGAATTTAGACCCTCAATCTGATAAAAGCAGGTATTGAACAGCAAACAAAAAACTGGAATTTTGAGTGAATGAATTCAAATTAGTTCAGCTGTATAACATATAATCTTTCAATTTATATTATGTCAAAAAGGTGATGTTTTCACATCAAATATAAAAGTAACCAACAAAAACAGACAAACAAACAAAAATTACTTCTAAAAATTGTCGAGGCAATTCATATTTACAATAAATAAGTCTTATTACAAGAAGCTCAGAACCGTTGGAAAACTGACAGATATCTATGAAGGAACCATACATTATTTTTGACAATCAGCAAAATGTTAGTAATCAGGAAAGTCAATGTTACAAAAACCAATAAGCATACCTATAAAATTGGACAAAACAATGTCAATACCTGTGACTCAGATGGAATAAATGCTATGTTGATTTCTTTTAAGGTTTTGATGTGTTTTGCTATTGGGTGATGGCATAACTCATTGAACAATTGGTCTGGACATGCTAAAGAAAATAAAAGGAAAAAATAATTACATAAATAATAAAAACAGAAAGTAAAATACTGAATAATACTGGAAACGATGGATGGGGAAAAAGTGAAGAAAATTTATGCAGAAAAAGTTTTGGAATGAATACAAAAATGATTCGTATACAATGTGTTCACTTCAACATTTAATAATTTATATTTTTGTAGCAAAATCAATACAGGCTTCATCTGTAGTTTATTATACGACAACAAGAAAATTTGGGAATATATAAGTCAAAATAAACTAACATATTAACAATTTGACAAATTCACATTTCTGGAGATTGCAAAAAGGAACTCATTTTTTTTGTTTCAACTTTATGAATTGAAAAATTCTTTCAGTTAATGAAACTAGATATGTTTTCCTATAAAATTATTATTTTTTTGCATAAAATTAGCACATGAAATATAATAATAATAATGTGATAATGTTGAACTACATGTGGAGTTCCACGTGGTTCTTATACAGCTGCCATTTAGAAGAGTAATAATAATTGAAACAGAACACATTGTATAGGAACAAATGAATTTAGGAAATAGAAAATGAGTTTTAGTAGAAACACTGACTATAAATGTAAGTTTATTTATAAAGAGAAATATGACTTACCTTCAGTGAAAAAGACGTGAGCAGCCTTATACATGTATCGAGGCGATTCAAAATCATTCATCAGGGCACGAACAGATTTTTCAGAAGGCGTGATCAAGTAAACAGCTTCCATAGTTGTTAGCGGTTCCCTTTTTTTATTTATATCTTCGACCACTGTTGACATATTAGACAATTAAAGTGCATGAACACAATTCCACTCCCAATGTTAGTTTCAATAAAATTGCATACTCTATACTATACTAACCATTGAAAATAATACCACTTACAAGTTTTATCACACTGTGAACTTGAAAGATTTGAAGATAACAATATTTTGCAAAAAAAAACACAAAAAGCATACTTAATAACTCATCAGGGCTACACGCATGTTTCCCTCAGATTTTGAATATACTTACAAGTAATTCCCTCAGCCGATATGTCGTGCATCTTACAACATGCAGACACCATTCTCATGGCAAGTTGATCCACCACTAAGATCCTCCATTCAACGCCATGAGACTGTTGTTGTGCAACAGGACCATTCTTCTTGACAGGTTTATGTTTAATGACTTCATTCATTATTTCTGAAAAAAAAAATTGTTTGTAACGCTTAGGCTCCTATTGTTAAGTGATTTATTTTCACATTATTTTATGTCACTGAAACCATGTTATCTGGAAAAAAATCAGTTGAATGGTCTGATAAATCTCCAGACTTAAATCCTCTGGATTTATAATTGTGGGTATATCTGAGAAATAATGTATATAACACTACACCTCCTATAGTATAAATTATTAGTATAAAATAGAAAAAGGTTTGTAAGTATGGAAGAGTAACGAGTATGAATCACTATCAATAAATTGATGGATGTATCCGTTTACTAGGTGTACATTCTTTTAGCGATTTTTTTATTTTAATTGGACCTGATTGATCATAAAGGAACTTTGAAATTCATTTGATCTGAGATGAATTCTCTACAGTTTAGAAGATAGTAACAATAAGAAAATGAAAACCCAATATATTTTCATTAGAGTGATACGAATATTTCTCTGTACACGAGTAAAATTAGGTATAATAGTTTTCAATAGATGATGTTTATGTTTTTTGTTCGATATGTATGCCTTACATAAAAAGGAAAAAGTCCTGATTTTCAGCAACACCTGTTTACATACATTACATTTTAGTGATTGAGACATTTACTTAGTAATCAAGCATAATCGTTTCTTCAACATATATATTGAAAATGTTTCTCAAACATTTTTTATGAAGTACCAAATTATATGATTGAACTACAAAAAACCATTAAAAAGACACCTAACTGCTTGAGGGTTGTACTAAGGGTATTGAAAGTCAATTCTGGTTTTTTGGTAACAGATTTCATTTAGGGCCTAAAAAAAATAATTGTGATGCCTGAAGACAAGGTAACAAAGTGGCAAATATTCCTGCATAAAGGATGACCTCTTTCAAACACAAATATGCAAGGCAAGGAAAATGATATTGATATTTATGACGTCACAGGATAAGCCCTTCCTGGATGTTCATTATTCGGTTTTTCAAATATAGCTGATGTAGCAGACTAAATGAATTTTTATGACCAATTATTCATGGGATTCTTCGAAAATATCTATGTTACTAAATTTTTGACATTTAGGTAAATCCTCAAATTATACTCACTTTGACCAACTTGGGCCTTAAGAGCCATGTTGAATGTTGTTATACAGTCGACCACCACAATAACACTTTTTGAAATCAGAACAAAGTGATATCCTATTTTCAACCACCCACAAACTTTATCGATAATAGTAATAGTACTTTCAAATTTTAACTTTAGGTCTTCCAGGAATCGTGAATCACAAAATTGACGGAATCACCATAATAAAGTCGATGTGGCTAAACGAACGGTACCGGCACAGTATACCCGATATCTTTTGTCAAGTATGGATACTAGAATCGTTTTGTTGTCATTCATCAAGGAAATTTTGTTTGAAATTATTTACGTAATATATGATGAGCATCGATATTAAATTTCATCCACCTGAAAATCTATTATGCTCAAGGTATACTTCTTGAAGTTTCGGGTGGACAACCAAACTCTCCTAAAAAAGGTTTCCTTTCATATTCAAACGAAATTTTCATGTCTGAAATGAAGCAAAAAATAGTCGTATGAATGTTTTCCAAGTATAATAATCGTGACATAAGTGAAGTGAATTTGTATTTTCCTGGGAGGTGAAGCAGTAATTTTTTGTATAAAATGCGTATTTACATCTTTCAAAGTTCAAAGAGGTGCTGATAAGGCATTGCAGACAAGTGTTTCCGAACCAAGAAGCATACTATGCAGGAGGAATTTCATATCAATTATTTTTATATGAATTATATCTGATTCAGTTCCATAACGAATGTTTGGAGTAGAAATTGACCGAGAAGAAATAATTTTTGTGTTATCTATTATCATGTGAAAGTAGTTGTTTGGAAGGCTTTTTTTCTTTCACTTCGCCTGCAAGAAAGTTTTATGCATATAATCTAGACATCTCTATGAAATTGTTGGACTTGCTTCCTTCATTTCTTCAAAGAAGAACCAATTTTTGTTTTCCAAGTGTTCTGTGTCACCTTACCTTTTTCACGTTTAGGTCACTTACTTCATTTATCTTCTTTAGGTAACGTGTCAATTTACTCTTTTCACGTTTCGGGTCACTTTGTCATTTTACCTTCTTTTGTTATAAGTTACTATATCTTTTTTATGTTCCGAGTCACTTTGTATGAAGATGGAGAAAAGAAAGCCAATTTTTTTCCATAAAACTAATCTCTCCTAAAAATATACTTTTTTAAATTTATCTTCATCACTTTCCGAGTTAGTTTACTTTTCTCAAGTTCCGTGTCAATTTCCTTTTTTATGTTCCGTGTTTCTTTACGTTTTTTACGTTCCGTGTCATCCTCCGTTTTTAGTGAGAAGTTTTCATATCCACTGTGTTGATGAAATAGAGGAATGGGAAATGATAAATAAAATTAAATAAATGTAATCCTCAATCCGAAATGGACAACTTTTTCATTTCTTTCCGTATGAATTGACTTACTCAGGAAGTACTAGAGTTATGACTAATTAGGAAATTATGAATCAAAGTGAATCAGTTTTCCAGTCAGAGAAAGCTACTTTTATCAATGAATTGATAAATAAAATGAAGAATCAGTTCAACAACAAGCCAGAAGATGTAATAGAGACGGAACCGGAAGCAACGTTTAGTGAGGTCTGTTCAGATTATTGTCCAAAGGAAAGTGGGAAGGATGAATCTGAAAAATGTCCAAACTTGAAAAACGAAAGCATGAACGATACTATCGGAGATCTGAGTGGAAAACCGAGACTAGTATTGCATTTCAAAAAGCCAAACAATGAATCTCCTATTAAATCCAAAAATAGCTCGCCGACCAAGAGGTCAGTTAGACTCAAAAGCAGTTCCTCAGACGAAAAAAAGGAGGAAAGTCCAAAGCGTTCTTCTAGACGTAGAAGTAAGGATTGTAGAGAGTCTGTACTACAAAGTGCTATAGCGAGAAAAGAAAAATCTTATAATGAATCTGTGAAACCTCAAAGACTATCAAGACAACTAAAACCAACACAGAAAATGCTAGAGAATATCGCTTTTGCCAGACAAGAGAAAAAGGTCAAGTCTTCAAGAAATCCAGAGAAAAGTATAGACAATGGTTTGCAAAGTTCAAGCGAATGGAACAGTAACAAAAGAAATAAGAAGAATAGCAAATCTAGGGGTAAGGAATCCAAGAAATTCAAAACTGGATTAACAAGTGAAAAAGACTCTGAGTCAGATGAAAGTTTTTCCAGTGATAGTGAAAAGAATTTGGAGATAGTCAAGGAGGCTACCAGGAAATCTCATAGAAAGTCTATTAAGTATGTGCAACGCAAGGCTTAATATTACATTTCACTAATGTTACATGTTTGATTTTAGCTTATCAAAGGATGAGTCTGGAGATCCACCTGATCCTAGTCCAAACATTGCTGATCAAGCAAATGATTTCCCAGATGACCCCGAATGTTCCTCAGTTGGAGCCCAGTTGATTGCTGCCAAGTTGTGTTTGTGCACACAAAAAACTTCGCTTTACTGCCCCCCAAATGAAAATGGTAAGTCAAAGGTTGGTTAAATTTGTCATTGTTTGTTATTCAATCAAACTCTTAAAACTGTAATAATCATTTTCATTTTAGATATTATACATTGCTCAGCTGTTGACAGTATCGGTGAAAAACTGATTGGTTGTAGTAGAGAAGTGAATATTGAAACAACTCCTTTATTGAGACCATCACAAAGAGTGCCGTATCTTACTCTATGTGAACTGCACAAAAACAGGTTGATTCGACATAACTGCTGTCCAACTTGTGGGATTTTTTGTACTCAGGTTGGTGTATTTTCAAAAATAAAAGACTAATATTATTATCTAAACCTTTTAATTTCAATTAATCTAACGAAAACTGCATTACTTTGTAATGAAATTAGATTGGTTGGATTAACTTGGTATTTTTGTTTTTTCAAGGGGCGTTTTGTGGAATGCGATGCCAAACATCAGTATCATCGAAATTGTCAAATCTACATTGGCAATGTAGAGTGTTGTCCACACTGTGGTTCAACCGCTCCCTGTCAAGATATATTAATTAAGATGCAGTGTTCTAACAAACCTGTTTTCCTTCCTGTTCAAAAATCCCACTGGTAAGTCAACTGCAATATTTTCGGTAGGGAGAATATACTACTCTGAATATTTTTTTCAACTAATAGTTATCATAAGGAAATATTACAATGCAGGGGGAATTTTGTCTGGTAGTTCAAATTTTTTGTTATGTTGTGAAAAGTAAACCTCAATATCCTAAATTGTGATGTTAGTGTACCTTTAAAAACAAAATCTAAAAAAAAAATCTTTAGTGTATTTTACTTCAAATACTTCATACTTTTTCTAGAAAAAATATGATGTGAAAGTGTAAATAATCTCAAAATTTTGTTCTGCTTCGTCTTTTGGTTACCCATAAAAGTGATTATGAGAAGAGGAAGACATATGTCTACGCCTGAAATTTTGAAGAACACTAGAAGTTTGATATTTTTTCCATGTAAATGAAATTTTTACAGGAATTCTCTTCATATATTGCATCATGTAGTGTCCCTGTGAATGACATCTATTTGATCCAATCCATTACAAATGTTTTGAGTACTTACTGTATAACAAAAAGTAATATCTGTGTAATTCATTGTTTATATCCTCGAAAGTTGTTGTTTTTAATGTTTTCTTTTTCAGTGTGTGTATCAAAAAGAAACATATGTGCTTGAACCACACATCTTTGTAAACAGATTTCATTTACTCAATTACTTTCTTTGGCAGTTACCTAAATGTTTTTGACATATTCCTGTTTCTTATAATAGAGATCAAATACTTTTTTTTAATTGAGTTTTTAGCAAAAGAAGTACACTAATTTTTAATGAAGAAAACTTTTTGAATTTCACTGCATTCAAAAACAATTCAATACCTTGAGTTGTGGGTTATGATCTGCTTTATCAAGATAGTTCAATTACTAATGTATAATAAAAAAACATTAATTTCCAACTCAACATTATTTTTCTTTTGTAATGGTAAGAATCAACATTACACTGTTTTTTATTTTTCTTCCTCTAAATTGTATTTTTTAGCTTAACCTCTATAGATTTTGATTTCATAAAAAAAGTTTCATACATAAAATGGCCCCACTTCACGCAATATAAAAAATTCAGCTGGAGGTATAAGAGGGAAGGAAGGATTAATGTTTTATTGTTGTATTTTACCCTTAAGGTCTGTAAACCTCTAAATTTAATATATTTTTAGAGTAGTATGTGATCCCAATTGCATTGTGTCGATTGTGTGTTTCAAAAAACATTTTTCATTGAATTTTTTTTAGTATCAATTGTAGTATGTTTTGCGTATTCATCAATTCAGGTTCTAAGAGGAAATAAATGAAAGTGTTGCTGTTCATGATCTTGTCATTTTCAAGCTGAATTGTTACTTCCTTAGCAAATTCTCTGTTCAAGATTAGCATTTTTTCATTCAAACTTCAACAATGAAAGTGATAATATTGTTTACTAACAGGATATGTTATACATTTTTATTTCAATATGGATTATTTGATTTATATTCATCAAGTTATATTCCGAAGAAAATTCATTGAGGAATAAATTCATGTGAATTATTTATCAAAGTAGTATGAACCTTTATTTTTTAGGCGATAAGCCAATTTAATTTCATCTTCATCTCGTAGGTCTTTAGGAAATGACAGATCTGAAGTAGCGAAAATCATTTATTTTGATTTTCTTGGTGAAATTTGTTCTTTTCAGATTGGCACAGCTTACCATGCAACTAACTTTTGAAACACTCGCTACCTACTTATTTTTCCAAATTTCAAAATTATGTATATATTTGGCATTTAATCCGATTTTAGCCAGTCAGCTAAAATGACTTTTCCGAATAACAAAGAAAACCCCAAATGTCCAACCCCCTTGTTACTTCCAATGGAAACCTTCCAAGTTTTTGATACAGCTCTAGTGAATGGACAAAACTTCACAGAGAATGATGTCATCGATGCAGTTAGAGATGAAGACATTACCAAATTGGCTTCCATTATAGGTAAAATAGTTTTTCTTATTAGTTATAATCATAATATGTGTGCAAATAATTTTATTTGTGGGTGACATATATAGTTGTAATTTCTAATAACATTATGTATATTTAAGGTAACTACATGAAACTGGATATTTGAAATAGTGTGAAAAACCATTTTCAACCACTTTGAAACAATACTCCAATAATGAATATAAATTCTTTTCCATATTTACAGAAGCATCACAGATCTATTGAAATATCTGTAAAATCAAAAAACTAGAAAATTATATAACAAGGTCAAGTATAGTCACAACATTACAAATTCCACTTTTCAGGAAAACCCATTCCCAAAGAAGTCTTTTTTATTATGGCCCAAAATTTTTCAACCTTCTTCCTGATATCCTGAAAACTATAAATGGTATATAAAATTCTAAACTGACTTAATAAGTTATACATGAAGAAAGCCAATCCATTTCTAAAATGAATACTGTTCGCCTTTGCTATCATTCACTTGAAATACACAATTCAGCTGGTTGTGCACCAACCAGCTGAATTTACTGATACCATATCTGTTATTTATTCAAAACTCACCACATGTTGACATATTTCTCTACACATTAGAATGTTTTCCAATTTTACAGCTTCCGACACAATAGACATGCACTTCAGGTTATCTGACTTCAATGATGGTACTCCTTTACATTATGCTGCACAAAAAGGTTTTCTGAAAGTATGTCACTTGCTTGTTTCCTCAAGTTTGGAAGTGGATGATTTTGATAAGGAACAAAATACACCCTTGATGTTGGCAGTGAGCTCGAATAATAACGATGTGGTGCAGTATCTTGTTAGAACTGGCGCTAGCATAACAATTAAGGTAGGTAGGTACAGAGTGTGAGTTAAATTTATACTCATACTCAAGAAACTACATTGTTTTTTTGCCAAAATATTTCATAAATTTTACACAATGATTGTAGGACTGCTTTGTTCACATTTGGTTTCATTCTGTGAATGAACTTTTAGAATAAGACCAATTTTAATGGTGCATATATTTATATTCCATAACTTCCAGATTTTCAATTTGTTTCACTGCTTGAACGTAATATTCATTCTACAATATCATATGACTTCATTTGTAAAAGTATCATCTATTTAAGCACAGTTTCTTGTTCAGGGCACCGACGGAATGACTCCTTTACATGTGGCCGCCAAATGCGGAAATCTAGGCGCTTGTAAGATTCTCCTTCAAGCTGGAGCGACTATCAAAAACTACGTCAACTGTCAAGATGACGGCGGATGGACGCCTCTGGTATGGGCTTGCGAAAACGGATACGGGGAAGTCGCGGATCTGTTGATAAACAAAGGAGCCGATCCTTTGCTTAGGGACGTCGAGCATAACGAAGCCTTGCATTGGGCTTCGTTCAGTGGAAGTTCTCATATTGTCGAGTTACTTCTGAACAAAGGTTGTAACGTCAATACTGTTAACGCACATGGGGAGACGCCGCTGTGAGTATAACATTCTATATTTTTACCACTTTTATCTGTAACTGTATTTTTACAATCACCACTCATTTTATGAATTATAGAATCTACTTATAGTATCTCGCTATAATATAACTGATATTTTTAAAGTGAATTTTATTCTGTTTAGCATTTATTTGTTCTGTACTAATGAGTTTGACATTCTATTTTATATAGATAAGATACTAAGTAGTATAAATACAATTTTAACACAGTTCAAAAACGTCTGTCAACAGGAACTTTTTCTCAGGACAATAAACGTATTTCTCTCTTTTTCTCTCGTATGAAAAAATCAAGTATCAATTTTTTGAATACACTGACCCGTTACTTGGTGAAAATCAAATAAACTATTCATGGGCATCACTACCCTACATTGCAGTGTCACTTTCAAGTTTTATGACTTGTTCATAATTTTATCGAATCATAATTATGCTTTTTTTCTTTTTCCAGGCATATTGGTGCAAGAGAAGATAGGTATAATTCTGTGATAGTACTGTTGGCAAGAGGGGCAAACGTATTTTTAGTTAACAAAAACAATGAAACTCCTCTTGAATGTGTACCTGAGGACGGGGTATGTTACAGTGTCATAGCCCTTAACGTTCAAATGCAATCCATCACTGGTTGTGAAGGCACAAAATATAAAACGATTTTATCTAAGTAAGTTATCATCTTTTGTCGGTTGAAATTTTATTTCATCATCCATGTTATTCATTAAAATCTCTAATTACCAGGTGCTTGAGATATTAGTGGATCCTTCTTATGTTCCATACCAGAGTAATACACTCCTCCACTCCTCTTATACTGTATTTATTTTTATCTGAGATAGACTAGACTTTCTATGATAAGAACAGAAGTGAATGTCGATAATAATAATAATAATTTTATTAGTCTCAAGAAATGCACAGTTTTTAGAAACGTCAATACAATTTCTAAAATAGGTTTGAGAGGATAAGATTCGTCAATATAGTTTCTAAAAAATGCTTGTAGATAAATTAGATTCACAAAAAAATACAAGTTAGCAAGATAAAATTCCAATCTTATAAAAATGGACTAAAATGTAAAGCCATGAGCTTTTACAAATTATAAATTGTTTCTTTTCAACCTATTAGCTGTAGGAACAAGGTTTGATTTATTTCTTGTATCATGTTGGTGTATATCCTTGTGAGCAACTTTATTCATTTAGTTTTGTTGAACAAGAAGCAGATTTTCATAGACAATAACTGAATATAGGGTCATTATTTTATGTTTTACAAATATTGGTGTACACTTTTCATCATAATTGGCAGAGATTGTGCTTCTTACTGCAGATTTTTGAATGACAAATTTTCCATTAAGATGTACCTTTGATGCATTATTCCAATTGATTATACCATATCTAAGGACTGAATGAAAAAGTAAATGATATATTGCAAGTGCCGCATTTTGATTTACTATTTTTTTTTTAATTCTTCTGATATCAAAAACTGTTTTACTAAGTATACTACACATGCTATTTATATGGTCTATCCATTTCATGTTGGAATCTATTTGTACTCCCAAACATTTGGTAGAATTTTTGTTATCTCAATTTAAGCAAATTGTTTCAAAAGTTAGAGTTTCTGGTTTTTGTTCATTGAGAATCAAGTTATTTGGTGTGAACTATGATTGAGCTTTCTCTAATATGTCAGTATGGATCATTGAGGATCATCTATTTTATTCCATGACACTAATAAGCAACTCTGCAATCATGCGTGAACCTCATACAATTACGTTCCTCTGTATACTAAGCACATGAAACTGGAGAAAATATGAACAAAGGTTCGCCTACTTTTTTAAGAATCAACAGAGATAAAATAAAAACAGATTTTATTGGCCAGAGTCATGATTAACGAGAACAAAATTCGGGCTGGTAGATCGTGATCGAATGGAACCTGAAGAACCAATTGTTTCGTCCGCTACTACGACAGACATCATCAGTGGTATGTGCATTGACTGCACATTATATTTCGACACAAATAAAAAACGAATCGTTGAAAACACCAAGAGTTTCTATGCATCTTGGCGTTTAGGCTCTTGTGATGGAGATGGTGACACTGTATGTTACTACTGTTATTACTAAAGTATGGATAGCATAGTTTGGTTCATTTTAATGACTCGAATGTCATGTTTACCCAAGTGCAATATTACAAACATCAAAAAGAAAAGTTGGTCAGAAGTGTTCACCTTGTTTCATCTAGTGATTATTACATTGAAGATTTTTTTGTTTCCAGTGACATATCTAAGGGAAGAGAAATGAATCCCATTCAATGTGTCAACACCTTCGATGACGAATCGGAACCGAAAAATTTCGTTTACATCACAAAAAGTCACATTAGTACTGATGGATATAACATTGATGACAAGCTATCCCTGATGCAATCATGTAGTTGTGAAGAGAGATGCACAAGTGATTATTGCGAATGCGGGAAATTATCTCTCGGGTGTTGGTATGATGAGGAAGGAAAACTTTTACCGGACTTCAATTTTGCAGGTATTTGAATGAAACTAGATTGTCTATGAAGAAAATTTCATCTGAAACTTTGAAGGTCACGAGAGACTAACGACTCTTTAAATTTGATCAATTAGTAATTCATTTATTTTTAATTCATTTTTTCTAGATTCGCCAATTATATTTGAGTGTAACGATGCGTGTTCCTGTAATGCCATAACTTGTCGAAACCGAGTAGTACAAAGGGGGTTGCAACAAAGATTCCAACTGTATAAGACTGATTTGAAAGGCTGGGGCGTGAAAACGCTCAGGTTTATTCCAAAAGGAAGCTACGTCTGTGAATATGTAGGGGAGATATTGACTGATGTGGAAGCCGATCGGAGAGAGGATGATACGTTTTTCTTCGATTTGGATAATAGGGTGAGACCTTTTTTTGAATAATAATGCAAAGATGCATATAAAATGAGCATTTTGACTGTGCAGTACCATTGTAAAAGTAAAACTGTTAAAATCAGTTTTTCCATGAACCAGTGTTTGTCCCCTCACAAACGGCAGATGTCGCAACTTGTGTGAGCCAAGGATTAAAGAGGTCTTACATCCCACCGTGCGATTTTTAGCACGGCTGCTCCACGTTTCATTTGAAGACTTTTCTTTTTATCGTTATTTTTTCAACAGCCCATGAAATACAAAAAGGAGAACACCAAACTTTTTTGCCAACTTATTTTCCACTAGATAAAGCTAAAGCAGAAAGTCATGCACTCATGAGACTGAACTGTTTGGCTCTGCCATCTATATATCTCATCAGTAGTATTCGGTTGGATCATATGTGCAGTGTTTATGCTGTCTGTTTGTAAAGAAAATATTCATCTGGTCTCCCTTACAGTGTGGCCTATTATAGAGCCAAGTGGATGGGTCAAAAACATTGATTCCCCAGCACATTTTTGAGTTAATATCCACTTTCAGATGCTGTTTTGGTAAACACTAGATACTTTCCTACCATAGATGGCCAATCGAGTCAAAGACTGCGTATAGGCCATCAAGACTTCTGGGCCTAGAACCAAACAGAATTGGATATGAAATTGAAAGATCTTTCAAATAGGTTGTTACTTGACTTTTACCTCCATTTGCAATTTTTGTTTGCTAACGGGAGAGGGTGAATGAAGATGATGTATTAAATGCCCTGAATATTAACTTTCTCAAACAAAGCCCAACTTGAGTGGTTGTGAAAAAAATCACTTTGTTTAATTTCAGGGTTTGGAGTCATTTTGCGTAGATGCCAAGTATTATGGTAATTTTGCCAGGTTCATCAACCACTCCTGCACGCCAAACTTACAACCCATTAAAGTATTCACAGATCACCAGGACTTGCGATTTCCCAGGATAGCACTGTTTGCTTGCAAAGATATTACCTTGGGCGAAGAATTAAGGTAGGGGGATATTACGATTTGATATTGATTTGAATGGTGTTTTATGACTGAGTTGTGTCAATGAAGTCATTTTTTGGGTTTGTTGATATGATCTGCAGGTTTTTAGTGTTTGAAATTTTGTCTAGAAATGCGGTAGACACCATCAAAGGACATACTACATTGTTGATGGTTTGGATATTCAGTAATTGACCCGAACTTACACAGTTTAATGTGATTTTCTCTGAAAAATTTACAAAACTGCTACATGTTCCGCCATACAGTAGCTTTTTCAAACAGAACTAATAAATTACTCCTGAATTAATTTTTTTTTACTCGAGAAACAAGCTGTTACCTATAGCCTAGTTCCTTGGGCCATAAAACATTTTCAAGTACCTGTTCGATAGGCGTACATAATTGAGTCGTATAATCATGAATTCAAAACTCTTGTGTATTGTTGTGTGTGCAAACTCTGAACAATCTAATAATAATCTTTCTTTATTTCAGAAATAGGTTTCCCTAATATACAATAAAAAAAAAAAGATAGAACAGAAAAAGTAACTAATATATGCTATTCAGTAATTTTAAAACTATTACAAGTAACAATAAATAGTTCTATCGCTCCGTGCTATTATTTTACAAATAATATTCATTATTTCTACTTAGTAATGCTAGTTATATAGGTAACATTAGAAGATTTATACCGAAAGAATTCAAATATTTCACAATCAAAACTAACATATAAAACATAGATTTACAACTTTATCTAAATGTAAGTTATGTTTAAAAAATACTGAATTCATACTACTTTTAAAATTTGTTCTGACAATATGTAGATTGCAGTTATTGCGAGTATAGTGTTCATGGATTTCATAATTGTAGTTGACCATATTCATGAAATAAGAAGGAGACAAATTATTTATTATCTTATAAATAAATATCATTGCGAAGTACAGTAACCTTTGTAATACGGGCAGCCACTGAAGGGTGGATAACATTGAATTTATTGGTGTGTATCTATTACATCTCAGAATAATTCTCATGCCTCTATTTTGCAATTTCTGCAGTTGATTAATTTTATTTAAGTTCATAGAGTATATGATTGATGCACAATAGTCAAAATGAGGCAAAATAATTGCTTTATAAACTGTTATTTTAGTGGCTGTTGATAAATTACTAGCAATTCTTGAAAAAAAGTATAATTTTTTTGAAATTTTTTTATGAACATAGTCGAAATGGCTATCAAAAGAAAGTGTATTGTCGAGTTGGACTCCTAAGTATTTTATATTTGTGACGATCTCAATTTTCTTGTTATCAATATTTATGTCTAAATTATTTATCCCAATTTTGTTGTATTTAAATTTATTAGTAATTATCATGGCTTTGGTTTTAGTTACATTTAATTTCAATTTATTGATATCGAGATATCTTTTAACACTGACTAAGATGGAATTCATTTTGTGAATAGCTCTATCCAAGTCTGTATCACTACATGCTAATAATGTATCATCTGCGAACAGATTTATGAATTCACAGTCCACAAATAAGTTAATATCATTAAGATATATTATGAAAGCAGTGGACCTAAAACACTACCTTGAGGAACACCCTGGTCATTTGTGATTTCATTTGAAAATGTATTGTTAATTCTTACCCTCTGCTTTCTATTAGACAAATAATCATAAAACCAATTGAAGGTCTGACCGCCTACACCATATCTCTTGAGCTTAGCAAGAAGAATATTTCTATCAATTGTCTCAAAAGCCCTTTTCAAATCGAGAAACACAGAAACAACATATTTGTTGTGCTCTAGTTCATTATTAAATTTACTTAATGACAACTGGAGTGCTAACATGATCACTGCAGACAACAAGAGCTCTGCTTTCTGCTACCTCATCGTCTTTGATAGAGTAGAGTAGAGTAAAGTACTTTATTTGACCATTTTACATACTATAGTACATTTATGGCAAGTCATGAATACAGAAGTTCTTGTTCGGAGTTACATAGATAAAATGATATAATAAAAGTAAAGAGTGTATGTTTTTTAAAAGCATTAATATAAAATCAATAAAATGGTTATTCAGTGAGGTCTTTCACGTCAATATATACCTAAATGTTATAAAAACAGCGTTGGAGATAAAACTTTTTAACAGTAAATTTGAATTTTACAAGGCTCACTTCAGAGATGAGCGAAGAAGATTATACAAATGTAAGTTTAGTGAATTTCTGTTCAGTTGAAGTTTGGTGACAAAGTTTACCATAATTGTAGACAAAAACTCAGGCATAAAAACCCGGAAAATAACTCTAACAAAGTTATCTTCAGCCGTGAAATTTTACATTCTATGACTGAGTTTTATATTTTACAGTTTTGATTATGGTAAAAAATTCTGGTTGATTAAATGCAAATCCTTTGCCTGCCAGTGTGGATCTCCTGACTGCAAATATTCTGAAGAAACTATGGTAGAGATGGATGAAGAAGACGTTTCTTGAAGCATTAAAAAATGCAGATGCAACAGTTCCAGGAGAACTAGGGCATTTTTTTTCCAATTAGAGAAGAAATCGTAGTAGATCTGTTTTTAAATATGGGTAAAGAAATAGAATATTTTTTGTATTCTGTACTGAAAAAAAGTTGATAATTTAAAAAAATGTAATAAATTGTTCCTTTCATTATTTGTAATGGAAACATTTAATAGTATTGCAAATGGTATCAAAAGATTTTTCAAAGTACAAATCGTATATTTGTGAAAAGTGAATTGTGGCTAGTTTTAATAAAGTTGTATCATTTTGGAAAAAACTATTCTCATGAAAAATCACTTGGTTGAATTTCATCTCATTTATGACTGAGTTGTGTCAATGAAGTCATTTTTTGTTTGACTAATCAAACTGTGAAAACAAAATTCTAATCAGCCAGAGGAATAAAGAGAGGGATACTTTTGAAAATTCTTCTACCTCAAGGAGATGTGAAACAAACATGTTTCATGGTTTTTGAATACTTTGTATTCTAGTTTCTTTACAAATTTAGCAATAATTGAAGAAGCTTTATGTAATGTGAGTCACCAATCAAAACTTTCTAGAATGTTGTGTCCTCAATCTGATGTTATGTAATAAAATGAAAATTGGACCGTGAAATGTGTAAACCACTCCATAAATTTGATTATGTTGGATCTGTAGCTGAGCCATATGACGTCAGTATAAACCCCTAAAGTTTTTAATTTTTCCTAGCTGTCGATTTATTTGGAAAATTGATTTTATTCCTAATAACGATTTGGTGTTGGGAAAAAACTCCAGTAATATTCAAGGAGATAAATTATTTGAGACACGAAATAGATTGTCTCTTCTCTGTCTTACGTCAGGTACAATAAAATCAATAGTATAGAGAATTTCAGGTACTCACAGCGGTCTTTCAATGGTTGCATATTAAATTCTTGTATATAATATCCAACGTGGTATCATCCGGGGAAGTAGTTATTGTCCGGCAGGCATTACCAGAACCTACTGTGTTGGAATGTTCATTTTCTTGTAAAATGTGCTTCAATATTATTCACAAAATTAATGGGGTCGAGCCTCCTTCATTATTGTAAGTGGGTGAAACTTATATCTTTCAGTTTTGGTGAAGTATAAATATTTCTAGAAACAGGATGATTTTCCGCCAAATTTTGATTTTTATAAACATTATTTTCAACATTTTTATCATCAAGAGTTTGACTAAAGTTTTGGTAACTCACTCTTTTTTCATTATTTTGAGCTTAACAAATGGGTAAATATAAAAAAACACAATTCACGGACAGGAAGTAGCCTTTGTCATATTTGAAATTGTTGATGGTCGACATTTTGAGTGAAATTCTCAACATCGCAATGTTTTTCAATCAGAAAAACCAGAAGGCAAAGCAGAGGCGGTTGAAAAAAAATTTTTGAATGAAACAAACACATTTAGATGTTTTAGGAATCATCTAAGTTCCTTCTTTCAATTCGATGAGTGTCACTGAAAAGTTGTGTACATTATTTTAACCGAATTAATTCTCCAAACACAGTAAAGTTCAACATACAAGTACAAAAATTGTTATTTTATTGATCGTTGAATACACAAATTCTTGTTTTTTCCATTACAAATAACCATTGAAAAACATATCCATATTCTATAACTTTATTCATTATTTTCCAATAATACAAATACAATAAACCTTGGGCCTACATAAAAACTATGTAAATAAGTATGTAAAATAAATAAAAATCACAAATTATAATACACTAGTTATTCCTTACACTTCGAAATACTTAAAATAATATTTTCAAAAATACAAAGGTTCATCATAAAATTCTGGAAATGTTAACGGTCCTTAAAAATACATCAACTCATTCACTTTGAACCCTTCTACAAAAAGTAAGGCATGAATATATACTTGAAAAATGTATTTGAACTCAAAAACAACCAATTATTATATTTTCAGAACTGTATTACGCCCTATTGCAACAAATGAATTTATTTCTATACAAATGTAGTATGTGTCAAAATATTTTGTCCTGATCCACCATCTTTTGTGAGAGGATAGTCACCTAATTCCCAAAATTCTCTTGTAAGAATATTCTTGATCAAGGATTCGCAACCCTCCTCTGACATGGCAATTGTTTATAAATACTTATTCCCCTCAACAGGTAGTGAATCAGACAAATCTATAAACATACTCAAAACTGTATAAAATCAATATGAGTTTTTCACTGCTACAATAATATAAAGAAATTTAAATATATCATAATTCTGTAAATATCTGAAGAGAGGGTGTTTCTCGTGTTCTTGAATTGACAAGCAATTTAGAAAAACAATTGTGTAGCTCCAGATATTTCTCAATTACTGTAATTTTCTCGAAAGCCAAATTCAAATTTGCACAGCCCAAGCGGTTGAATACTAAAAACATCCTTCAAAATTAGAAAATATCTATCACTGGAAGCCCAAAATGTGATTGTGGTGTGTGATTTTAAATGTGTAGGCTCTTCAAGTGGTTTGCGTTTATAACACGGTCAAAAATTCGGTTGGACATTTTCAAACTTGTGTGTGAGAAGCTTGCTAATAATTCAATTTCACAGTGCTGAATTTGATGCCTATTTTTATTTTTGTTCAAAGGCACATTCCTATTATCAGTTCTATCATAAATTTAAGTATTAATTATGTTCAAGATATGCTTCTACTGATATAATCGTTCAAATCCCTATTTTCAATTCAATTCACTGAAACAATTGACTGTAATAGGGAGACCAACAAAACAACGAAATGTGGTGTATCGAAAATATGTGCAATTGAGCAAATTCAGAAGAATAATTTATTTTGCGACATCAATTTAAACAAAAATCTTGTGTTATCACAAAGAGTGGTCGCAGACAAATTGACGTTTGCAGGAAGCTATTTTTCATGTTCCCCATTTGATTACACTCAGAAATTCATAGTAGTTTGAAGGGGTTGTCTAGATTTTAGAAAGGAACTCAAATCAACATGTGTGAGACATGGAAAATTGGTTTCAACATAACAAAAGATAAATTTTCAAATTTTGTTATACTTTCTATAAGTACATGCATATAATCAAACAAAATAATGTCAATTGTTTCAAAAAATAATTTTCAGTTATAGAGTTACAAATCTAGCATTGAAAGTTAAAATATGAAAATCAATTTTTTTCAGTATCAGTTTCATTTGATCGTTAAAGTTCATCAATTGATTTGACACAAAGCTAAAGACTGTTATTTTGTGTGGCTTTTAAAAATTCATCTAGATACAGGTATCTTGGTAAAATACGTCCACACTTTTTTTCTGAGTTTCTTTTCATTCTGTATTCCTTTCAAATTAATGAGGTGGTATTGATTTGATTTTCATATTTGTTATAGATAAGACACACCCTTCCCAAAATAACAAGAAATAGCTATTTTGTTTCACAATCAAGGGGCTACATGAATCCCCATAACGAACCTTGCATAAATATCTGATGACCCTTTTTGTAAAGAAATTGCATAGTTTCTCTAGAATCAAATTCCATAACATAAATGGAACTCATTTTGAGCAAAATAAACATATCTTGTAATAGTAGTATCTTGATTGCTAATAACATCTCTGTCGATAAAATGGCATACTTCAGTGGAGAAAAGGCTAATATTCAGTTTAATGTTTAATTCGAAAATCACTTTTCAATTCCATTTTATTTGACAGGCTAAATTTATAAGAATGAAAAGTTATTAATCTATATTTTCGATATTTTTTCAGAAAGAGGGAGTTTGAAACTCAGAAAAAAGTCACAAAAAAACCTACTCCCAATAAAACAGCAAATGTTTCTTATTAGTCAGTGGCTATGCTTGAACACTGGCAGTAAACTAATCTAAAGAAATGAACTTTAAACGTCCACTAGATGGAGTGACATTTTGTTGTTCGCTCCAACTTAGGAAGAGGAATGAAATACTCTGAAAGAATTCCGACTTTCAATTATGGAATATCGTTGACTTTAGGTCGATGATGGCCACTATCTTGCACTGATGAGTGGCTAGTGAGCCCAAAACTGGTCTGCAAGTGTGTCCGTTCCAAAATTGAAGTTCGACTCTTTCATATGCCTGCATATGCCAATTGCATATGCAGGACATTTTCTTTGAAGATTCCTGCACTGACGCCTGTCTGATATAATCCAACGCCCTTCGTGGTATTAGCCAGGGGAGTAGTTGTTTTCTGATAGACGTCAGTCAATTCAACCTACTGTGTAGGTATATCCGAGACTGGCTTGAACGTTTATAGTTAATTTCTTTAGATTTGCTTACTGCATTTGCCCACTGACTAATAAGACAGTTTTTCTTCCTTATTCAGAGGAATCGGGCAAGTTTCGGATATGCAGTACCTCGTCCACTAGATGGAGTGACATTTTGTTGTTCGCTCCAACTTAGGAAGAGGAATGAACTACTCTGAAAGAATTCCGATTTTCAATTATGGAATATCATTGACTTTAGGTTGATGATGGCCACTATCGTGCACTGACGAGTGGCTAATGAGCCCGAAACGGGTCTGCAAGTGTGCTCGTTCCAAAATTGAAGTTCGACTCTTTTAGTTGTATTGCCAATTGCATAAGCAGGAAATTTTCTGTGAAGATTCCGGCACTGTCGGATATAATCCAACGCCCTTCGTGGTATTATCCAGGAGAGTTGTTTACTGATAGGCGTCAGTCCATTCAACCTACTGTGTAGGTATATAGATTTAAAATAGCAAATGTGTGAACAAATATGATCTGCCAATAAAACTCTTTACATAACCTGAAAAATTCAGTTTTTTGTCTAAGGAAACTGCTAACATTTCATTAGACAAGAAACTCATCCTCCTTTAGATTCTATAAATCATTTGGTACTTGAATAAATAAATTTTCCTTCACTTTTTTTGAGTTGTACTTTAACGATTTATTTCAGATGTCTGCCTTGAAATTTTTCCGTAGCAGGTATATTGACTCGCTTGAAATCGAATAAGTAAAACGTGCATATTTCATCGAAATGGGGTCTACCATTTCAGTCGAAATTTCCAATGACGCCAATTCGATTGGTGAAACCCGCGTCAAAAGGGTGTTGCAGTTCTGGACTCTGACATAAAAAATCCCTATTATTCTGGATGATGAATGTTCTGCCTGCCATGTATCATAGATTTATGTTGAAAAATTCTAAAATCGAATGTGAAAATATAAAATATTTTTGTTTTGTAACTCCAAATTGAAGGGCATAAAAATGTATTATGTGATACCATTTAGAAGTGGACATCCTCTAGCAGATAATATATCATGAAGGTTAGAATCTGTAACTGAATTCGGAATTAGGAGATTTGTCTTTTCTGGGTCTCTATAATCAAAACTTGAAAAAATATGAACATTTTTCTGTTCATTTAAACATAATCACTCAAGCAGGTTTTGTAATATTTTTATGCATTTTAACCCCCTTCAGAACCATGAGTCTATCATCTTTCAATGGTGGGTACAGAAAAAAAGCTACCTGATACACAACTCTAAGTTTTCACTATAGAACACAATGGAAAAATATATGAATACATTGAAGAATATAAAATTAAAGCTTGACATCCTTATTCGATATAAATATTTGTAGAAATAAAATTCCTCATGTTGAATCAACATGATTTCAAAAATAATTAAGCGATGTGTGACTTCATTTCAATCAGAAAGTACTAAAAATGTAGATTACTTTTTTACGAGAAATCTCAATTTGAGAATTCCACTTTAACTACTGTTAGGGCAAGATAAAAATATTTAAATCATATTAACAATATACTAGGAGTATAATGAAGAAATAAAATATTGTCTCCCAGGTTATTGAACTGGTAGCACCGATAAAATCATTGCTCGTTTAAAAAATAGGAACAGCTCTTATTCATCTTAAAACTAAGTAACAGCACAGTGAGTGAAGAATGGCGTGAATTGGAAAAATCGATTGAAAATTTTCCAATTCAAATTATCTAGTCAGGTTCGTTGAAGATACTTCGTGATGTTTGTGAGATCAAATAATCGATAGGAGAATACTGTGTGATCGAAAATCAACATTTTCAATTTTAGGATCGAGAGGTCTTTAGAATCGAAGATGCTTTATCATAGATACAAAGTCGGAAAAATTAGAAAATAGTTTCTCAATTCAGAGAGTATTTAAAGGTCATTTTGAAATTTTGAAAATTCCTAATGGTTTCGAAGATATTCGAAAAGGACTGATATCCGTTATTTGAGGAGATATCAGAAAAAAAAACACATTTCCTCGTTGCGAGTTTTCAAACTGTTTCGCCACGGCAAATTTCAGACTGGAAAAAAAATCAGTTTGATGTATCAAACATAATCGGAATTTCTTAAATTTTGAAAAAAACTCTGAACTGCTCAATTTCTTCCTAATTTAGGCAACACTGTATCTCTTATGATTGCGGATTTTTACATTCTAGCCCTCCTCATCTCGAAAACATTATAAAAATTGTATTGTGAACAATGATTTGGTTTGTCACGAGTAATAAGAGTTTTTTGTTTGAATCCAGATTCAACAGTTCTCAATTTTTATTTTGGTGTCCTGGGTATTATCAACTATGACCATTAGTCTCGTGCTCTATGTGTGCTATTTTAATAACTACCCGAGTCTCCTAGGAAGTATCATAGCAGTTTGTAGTTCTCTCAGCCAGATACTGAGAACTTATGACCCAAAAATCATGAGCCGGGCTTCCAGTCTAGCACACTATCTCTGCACCCATTATAGTGATACCTTATGTCCAAAGATCATGAGTCGGGCGATCAGCCTAGTACACTATCTCTGCACCCATTATAGTGAGACCTTATGCCCAAAGATCATGAGTCGGGCGTCCAGTACTGCACACTATCTCTGCACCCATTATAGTGAGACCTTATGATCCAAAGATCATGAGTCGGGCGTCCAGTGTAGCAAACTATCCTTGCACCCATTATAGTCAGAACTTATGACCCAAAGACATGAGTCAGGAGTCCTGTCTAGCACACTATTTCTGCTAAATGAGTCTTGGTTTAAAGAAATATTTGGTAGTTAATACCATCAAATCTTCAGCTCTAGTAAAGTACGAATTAATCTAGTTGATGTGGTTCAGAATACAATTTGGCCAATAACAGTATCTTAAGCTCTTTAGAATAGTTTTAAAACAACTTCTAGTATAAACTGAAAGAGGTATATTTTTAGGAAAGATTAATTGTTGGAAAAGAAAGGTTTTGGTTTTCTACTTCTCCATCTTTATACAAAAAATGTGGGAATCTTTCAAAGGAAGGAAGAAAACAGTCAATTTCAAAAAATTTACTTTATACAAAGATGTGTAGATCATGCAGAAATCAGAGCCACTTTAATTCTCCGCAATATTTGAAACTAAAAATGTATGAGTTCTACCTGCATCCATAAAAATGATGATTTTCGAATAACACTATTAAAAAATATAAACCCTATTATTCATCCTAAGTTTGTCAAAATACATATCATCACAACGAACCTGATAATTTATTCGTTTTTAAATATCATTTCATTTGATATCATAGTCCGTCAAGGGGTTGAACTCACGCATACTACTGGCATTTTTAGATCTGACGTATCCCCAGAGTTTCATGGCCTCATCACAATTTTCCTCGATGTATTGTACTTCAGTGTAGTTCAGATCCATCCTCCAATGAAAAGGGGCGTTTTTCGAGTCTCTGAAAGTACTTGATACCCCTCCAACGTTGATCCTAGTGTGCGAGTCGATGAATCTTTTGACGTCTCTGTGGAAATACAGTCCGAGAAAATCGAACAAGTCTTCAACAATTTCTTCAGGATTGAGGGACAAATCTTCGTATCTCAATGCTCTGCAACATAAGGGATGGTGGAATTGAGTATTATCATACATTTTTTTGACATATAGGAATTTTGTTTTTTATAGAAAGAAAGAAATTTTATAGGCCCCAAATTACAATATCTGTTGCATTCCTTACTCACATACNAGAAATCTACAGGGTGGTCGAGTGTACCAATTTAATCGAAATTAAACGACCTCATGCATTTATTTTTATGATATTTAGTATGTTATAAAAATATCCCTAGACTTTTCCGATGTGTGTATATACATATATTAGGACCACTGACAATTGAATACCTTATCAATCTTATAGAAAGCTTGGGTGGCAAGTGAGTTTTTTACTTCGAACTTCAATATGAAGGTCTTTTCACTCACAAGACAAAGTGTTATATATTTTTATGGGAAGAAACTCCGTTTGTTTGGCTGTGTTATCATGCATCTTCGGTAGCCTGATGATGTCTTTATGTTTTGTATCATGATTGTGAATCCTGGAGCCACTATTATATTAATTTTTTGTACAAACAATATTGCTTCTAGAATATACATGGAAGGTAATGTAAGTATGACCCATTTTATAAAGATTGGTTTAGCATGGGTTTTGGAATCAACTTTTTCTAAATCTCTCACTATCTTTTTTGGATAATGAATACTTCACTTGCATGTGAGGAAGCACCCCATATCAGTATTCCATAGTTTATGTGGCAATGAGCCATGCCAAAATATGCAATTCTCAGCACATCGTTCGACACTAAACTCCTTAGTTTTCTCAATGCGTAGCGACACATATTCGTAATCATCTAGTTATGCAGTCTGCGAGAAAATACCGAAAGTCAATATAGGTTGTTTCAAAAGTTTTGTCCGTTTTTATGAGTCTACTTTGAACTGTTATATCTCAGTAACTCAGTGTGCTCGGGATTCGAAGAAGTTGACGAAGGCCGTATTTGCCTGGTTCTAATAATACCATCAACAACCGCATGGGAGCCCACGCCCAGTTTTTTCGCCATCCCACGCACCGTTTGTGATGGGTCAATCTTCACCAAAGTCCTCAAATTCTCGTGCTGGATTACTGTAGTCTGGGATTGCTGTTGATCATGTTTAGTTTGTTTACAAGTGGTACAAGCTTTTCACAGAAGGTCGAGAAGATGTGAATGACGACGCTCGCTCTGGACGCCCCAGCACATGAACATCCGATAAAAATGGAAGAGCCCATGAAAGCCAAGACCAAAATAAGCATGCCCGGTTCGATCAAATGTGATTACCGTGGCGTAGTGCATCAGGCCACATGGTCATACCACAGTAGAATAATAAATAATACAACCAGTAGGCTCTCTTATCACGTGATCCGTCGGAGTTGTCGGGGACTTTCAACCGTTCTTAGGATGAGATTCTCATCCAAAGCATTCAGTGCTGTAGTATCGAAGGATGCGACGGTCCCACGGGCATCTGATTAGTTACAATAAACGGACGGAAATTTATATTGTGTTTAGTTAATTCGCTGTTGTTATTGTATTTAGTTTTTGTATTTAGTTATAAGTNTATTGTTTTTAGTTTTTGTAGTTAGTTATAAGTAACTTACCACAAAATCTTCTATAATATCCTTAAATTTCATTTTTATACGAGGATTGCCTTTTATATTTCGGGATTAGAGAACAGAAACAAATATTAATCATCGAAAACCACTTTATTGCTTTTCAATATATTCCCCATGCAGATATATACACTTTTGCATGCGTTTGAACCAATTGTCGAAGCACTTTTGCCACTCTGATTGAGGTATCTCCAAAACATGCATTCTGAATACAGGTGTCAAAAAACATTGACCTGTCAGTTTGTTTTTTAAGTGTGGGAATAAAAAGAAGTTATTCGGTGCCAAGTCAGGACTATACGGCGGATGACTCATTAAATCGATGTTTTGGGTGCTCAAAAATGCAGTTGTTTGAGCCGATGTGTGAGAGCTAGCATTGTCGTGGTGAAGAGTGATCCGTCTTCGGCGGTTGGTTTTCCTGATTTCTTGGAAGACAACTGGCAAACAAATGGTTGTGTACCACTCAGAATTGACTGTTCTGCGTTGTTCTACGGTACGGTACGGTTGCGACATGTCCAGTTTTTCCGAAAAAACAAGCGACCAGTTGCTTGGAAGTGCTTCGTGCTCGAACAACTTTAGTTGGATTTGGCTCATCTTGAAACACCCATACAGTCGACTGCTGTTTACTTTCGGGCTCATACGCCTAAATCCACGATTCATCACTTGTCACGATGTCATAGACGTGTTTCGAAGCACCGCGATCTTATTTTTTGAGAATTTTCTTCGACCAATCGACACGAGGCTTTTTTTGAGCAATTGACAAATTGTGTGGGTTCCAACGAAAACAATTTTTTTTGACAGTCAAATGTTTATGCAATAATGAATGTATGCTGGCCCCACTAATGCCCAAGGTTGTCTCAATCTCACGATAGGTCACATGACGATCTTGCAATATCAGTTCGTGCACAGCATCATTGGATTTTGGACGACCTTCACGAAATTCGTCTTGGAGTCAACTACGACCACAATTGAATTCACCATACCATCGATAAACACTGGTTCTTGATGGAGCTTCATCGCCAAAAATTGAATTAAGTTCATCCATGCACTGTTGCTGAGTTAATCCACGTCAAAAGTTGTAAAAAATAATCGCACGAAAATGTTCACGATTCTATTACATTTTTGGGCCGAGATGAATCTTTTAAGTTACTGTAAACAACACAAATAGCGCACGTATGTCAAAATGTTCTGAGTACGTATAAGCACAAAACTGTCCAACTTTACGATAGAGCTGTCAGTTGCCAGATTGCAACACTAGGGTTGTCAAATCCCGAAACATAAAAGTCAACCCCCATATGAGCGCACGCCTATGTCACAAGAACAAAATTTGCTCCGCACTTCGTTTCGAGGTCATCGAGAACTTTGTGAATTTGTGAATGAAAGTAGTGGGAGAAGACTTACTGGTTGATTTTTAGTATGGTCGTACGGCCAATAAAGAGTATTATTATCTCGAAGTATTATCTGTTAGTTCTTGTATAGAGACGAGGGCAAAAGATACCACACCGGAGCGATATTCCTAGACGTCTCCAAGGCGTTTGACAGAGTTTGGCACGACGGCATTTGGCATTTTTGCTACTCGAAACAAATGGTAAGACTAATCGAATCTTTTCTAGCAGACCGACGATGCCGTTGCAGAGTAGGGCACGAACTCTCTACCATGCGACTTCTGGAAGCAGGAGTCCCACAAGGTGCAGTTCTTTCCCCACACCTCTTCTCGGTATATACAGCAAACGTGCCCAAGCCAGAGAACAACTTCATCAAGTTGGCACCCTACGCGGACGACACAGATCTACTGGCGAAATCTCCCAGCCACGTGCAAATTACCAGATATTTGCAACAGCAAGCGGACAGATTAGAGGAATGGGCCAACCTTTAGAAAATCAGTACCTAACAAGAGTCAGGCGATACTGTTCACCCGGAGGCTGGTACACCAGGAAGAAAACGTCATCTTCAACGGACAAGAGATTCCGTGGACCAACGAAGCAAGATACCTGGGAGTCACCCTCGACAGGAGACCAACGTTCAGGTCCCGCATACGGCAGAGACTCAGATTACAATCACCCTTTGTCAACATTTCAAGTGTTTTTGAGCACTCAATTCCATTTTAGTTGAAACAACCCACTAGTAGGTAGGTATATCCAAAGTGAATAGGTATATTCGACACTCCACTACAACCCGCGAGAGTTTATTGTGGCTCACACCTATTCACAGAGTATATGTATGCTCCTCTATCGGCACAGAGTGTGTTCAGCTACCAGGACTAAATTTCCTTATGAACAATAATCCACTCCAAAGTTGCAAACCGTGGTACATTTTCATTTATCTAGTGATGACCTGATCCTCCTAGGTAACCTGTATCCATCTTGTAGGAATTTGCAGCTCCAAAATCATCCAAAATCATCAGCAATGTGAATACCGCCGTCAAGTAAGTTGGCAATACAAAAGTGTGGCTTGGGACAGATAGGTCTCCAGTGACGCATTTCAGGAAATGACCCACGAGCCAGAGACAGTCATCTGATCCTTCAAGCTGTATCTATCTAGGTTGGAATTTGCATCTTCAAAATTATCATCCAGAATAACATCTGCAACAACCATCATGGCATACTGAAGGGATTCCAGTTGTATGGTCGTAATCAATGACCTCAAAAACCGTAGCAACCTTCCCATTTGAGGACGTCTATAAGTCAGTTGTACCTGACGATACATTAGATTCAGCAGTGCTAGCTGCATCTTCAGCCTCCCAGGTTTGTTAACAGCATCAATATTTGGAGAAGTGATAAGTACATACTCTAGATCCGATGTTTTGAGCAGTTGGTGTCGTTCATTCGACGTCCATCTCCACTGCCGACCCAGGGTCGGATTTTTTGGTTACTTCATGGTCCGTGAAGGGTTTCACAAGTAGATAGGAAAAAGATTCCCACATCATCATGACAAGGCTTTCTACGACGAGAGTGCCTTTGGTATCTGGAGTGCCTTTGGTATCTCGAGTGCCTTCGCTATCTCGAAGGTTCTGTAAGCAACACTGAGTGGGCACAGAGTCGTACATCCTTTAGCCACAGATACACACATCTCAGAATTTAGCAAGATTTTCACTTCCATGGATGACACCTCAGCCGGCAGGGATATTCTAACGCCCTCCTATGCAAGGCTCGAGCCCCTTAAAAAAGGGCTCAATCCTGCGGGTGTCATGTTAAGAAAACTGATACCTAGGGGCAAGCATTATGTGGACAAGGAGGTTTCCATTAAGGGGCTTATGTTATGAAACTTCGTAACGGACGAGGAACTATGCCTTATGGATCATAACAGATGCAAACTACTTAGTCATACCAGTCTAGGACAAATACAATGATATAAATTGATTGATGTAACTGTTACTACGTGGTTGGAGATCATCATAAAAAATGAAACTTTCTATGTTTTACCAC